TTTATTTTTCAATTCATCAAGATTAATAGGTGGGTTTTCATAAATTACTGATAAAATATAATCCACCACTCAGTGGATGAACCAAAAGAAAACTAAAATTACAAAGAGAAGAGCAAAATGATAAAATATGGTATTATTATGTTATTTAGGTACTTATATATTTGTAGTAATGATACGCTGATAACTTTTTTATAATATAAAAAAGTCGGGAAGGGGGGGGTACCTAGTGAATATTTTCTGACTACGTACCTGATCATCAGTGAGTAGATTGTTAAAGAAATCTGCTACTTCCATACTTATTGAATATCTTCCTTCTGGGCTCCTTCTAACCAAAAGCAGACGGTTCATAATTGAGATAATCGTTGTGTTCTGTCCAAGACTGATCGATATTAATTGAAAGTTGAAGGTTCTCCAACTTCTACGGGGTGCCAGTGGAACTTCGGCGTTTTGCTGTTCTACTCTTGGCGCCTGATGTTTATCACTTTGTATTGTAACATTTACCAAGTAAAATCTTCTATTTTCGAACCGCATTATTTATCTTTATTGCTAGGTAGTTATTCGCCATTGCTAATGTTAGTATATTGCGTCTTACATTAAAAGTAATTAATGAAATGTCCAATAGTATCCAATTCCAAATGTTCTTTTGTCTGTACAGACTTATTTTCTTTTTCGTTTGACATTGTTGCCGTTTTTTTTTTTTTTTTTTTTTGTTAATTATTTTTGTAAATTTTTTTAAAAGGTAACCTTTTTTAAAATATTTAAAATGCTATAATCTAAAATAAACAGTATCTACATTGCCATGCTAATTAATTGAATATAAATAATGAAACAATTGAAGTCACTCAATAATTTTAAATTCAGACTGAACTGAAAATTCAATTTATAGATGTTTTCGATTTACCGAGTGTTCGAAAAATCGAAGAAAAAAGTACATAATTCGAATTATAGAGAGGTGAAAAATGTTATTACATTTATTTTGATATTTATTAATTAACATTTATTTGGCCGTAGCCATTTTCCTCCAAAAACGAGATACCGTTTTCCTTCACTGTCCATTTTCCTCAAAAAAAAAAAAATTTGGTTTCCATTTTCTTCCTCTTTATTTTTGACTAAAATTATGTTTATTATCCTCAGTGGCGGCTCGTCCTATGGAGCACCGCATCACATGTAAAACCTATATTTTGTAAGAATACGAAATATTGCTCTACTCTGTAGTGTTTATTAATGGTAAATAAAATTGAAGTTACAAAATATAAATTTAAATATACGATATATTACTATGGCGTATTCAGTATAAACTATAGAATAAAGGGCATAGGCTATAGGGTGCCTCCAAATTTTTAGAAAATAATAAAGGGTGAGGTGAGTCAAAAAAAGTTGGGGACCTCTGCTCTACAGCAATAATTATATTACGTACCTAATATTTATGAAAGGGATAACAACAAAAAAGGATAAAACATTTTGCCTACGCAAAATAACGATTACTCGTTTCTTAGTCGTTTAAGAGCAAAAACACATATTATAAGATCTAAAATTAACAACATTTTGGAGAAAATGACATATTGTTTTTTTTAAATAACCTATATATAAAAACTTACAATCGTTTAAAAAAGTAAAAAAAAAAATATTTTTATATGTTAGAGTATATGCAAAATATTAAGTTAATTAAAAAACGGATATGACATTTTTTTCCAAAATATTGTCTACTTTAGATTTTATAATAAGTGTTTTTTTCTCGTTATATAGCTCGTTTTCCACGATAAAAACATGTCTACGCAAACAAAACAAACAAAACGGCCTTAAAAAGTGGTTTTAGAGTAAATATACCTATGATGACATTTATAGAGAATGATATTTAAGAGAAAATTTCATATCCGTTTTACAATAAAGCCATTAGTTAAAAAATTACTACTAATTAGAAAACATAAAATATGTATATTTTGTATTTTAATTTATAAGTTAAATTCTAGCAATATTAAGAAACTCATATGTTGTTTTCTCCAAAATATTGTTTTCTTTCGATTTTATTATAGGTGTTTTTTCTCTAAAACTACTGAAAAGCGAGTAATTACAATATTCCGTAATTATGTTTTAGTAGTATTTTTAAATGTATCATTCCGTTTTGTGCTGTGGTATATGTTATAAATATAATTTTTAATTGACTGCGCAATTGGAGGGAGGCAGCGCGTAGCCGGCCGTCGCGACGCGTCGTAGGTATTATCGATTAGAATTGTCGTAAGTACTAAGTACTAAGTTTATGTAATAGATAATGTAGCCCCATTAAAATAAATAAAATTGTTTCCGGCAAAGTAAACTAAATTTGGATCAATTTTAGCTAAAATAATTCATATTATAAATTAATATAGATAACCAATTTTTATTAAATTTGAATTGATTACTAATATATACATTTTAAACTTTAGACCATTTAGATTTCACTTTATATCACACATTTTATAGCATTTTTATTTATTTTTTTTTTTTTTAATTAACGTTTTTTACACGGAGTTGACAGAGTGTTTTTGTTGGGATATTATGAACATAAAATATCAATGGTTTTATAACTTATATATGTTACCGGCAATATGGATAATTCAGGTTTTTTGCAAAATGCAACAGACGGAACAAAGTAATTGGATACCATTTGACTTCGCATTAATTTACCTCAACGTAAGAGGGAACTTACTAATAATAAAAGTAGCAAACACCTTACTAGTGCTAAAATTGCGGTTCGACAATGGACGGTTCCACTCATAGACCTTATACTACTACTTATACTTATAAGGTCTATGGTTCCACTTAATAAAAGTAACTATAAACAGTATAATCGTTTTTGAGACGCCAGGAATAGATCCGGAAAACACCGAAGTTCCACTGGCACCCCGTAGAAGTTGGAGAACCTTCAACTTTCAATTAATATCGATTAGTCTTGGACAGAACACAACGATTATCTCAATTATGAACCGTCTGCTTTTGGTTAGAAGGAGCCCAGAAGGAATATATTCAATAAGTATGGAAGTAGCAGACTTCTTTAACAATCTACTCACTGATGATCAGGTACGTAGTCAGAAAATATTCACTAGGTGCCCCCCCCTTCCCGACTTTTTTATATTATAAAAAAGTTATCAGCGTATCATTACTACAAATATATAAGTACCTATATAACCTAATAATACCATATTTTATCATTTTGCTCTTCTCTTTGTAATTTTAGTTTTCTTTTGGTTCATCCACTGAGAGGTGCCATTTTAAAATTAATTTAAATATTAGATATATAAGATAAAATGTATAAATACTATAGATTGTACAAATATTAACGCATGTGACGTTAACATAAGTGCGGCGTGCGCTGAATGTGAATGTAAGTTAGAGTTGGGCGATTTTATCTCTGAATCGATTTTTATTTCTTCGTTTTAAATTTTTTTTTTTACTTGGAACTTGGTACATCGATAATTTTATCCATTATTGTAAAATCTTGAACACTATATAGTATGTGGGCATCTTTTCTCCATATTTGTTGATATTCAGAATTTGGAATTTGAAACGTCTTTGATAATTTATATATAATTTATGTATACTTATTTCTCTCTCCCATACTCTTTTTTTACCTTTAATCAAAATATGAACTAATTATAATTATACATAATATATGTTCAGTGGTGCATTTATAATATACGCGCTCCGGGGCAAAATAATTTTTCCGCCTTTCCCCTTACCAAAAAAAAAAATATATATATATATAAATTCAAAGTTAAGCAATAAAAAAATTAATTTTATGAAACAAATTATAAATCATTTGTTTTACGATAATGTATTAGATAATTTTATAGTAATACATATCCTAATGTTAACGTAATTTTTTTTTTTCTAAGTGATTATTCTTTCTTAAATATATATATATATATATATATATTAAATATTGAAAACGGAATTAACACTTATTAAATGCACAATGTTTAACAATACATGGTTTTTTATTAGATTAAATATATTATATTTATTATTAATTATATATAATAAAATAATCGATAGCTTATAATTTTTTTCTTGACTATTGAGAAGAAAAATGTTTAATATATCATTAAAATTAATAGTTTTCGTTTAATCAGCTTCAATGTTGAGGGATGTTAATTAATTAAGACGATTTTCTTCCGTTGTTGATCTTAAATAAGTTTTGACCCTTTTTTATGTGGAAAATGATTTTTCCGTTGAACAATTACTTGAAGGTGTACATACATAGTAGCATCCTTAGACCAATATCAATATAAGGACATACTTCAACTAAACTATTCTCTTTTATAAATGCTAACATACATTGAACACTTTTAAGTAAAATTTTACTCCTTTTGTAAACTTTTTTAATGTACCTTAAAGTGAATACCGCGTTCTGTGTACCCGAGTCTTTATTATAAACATTGAACGAAAATATAATATCTTATCGAATAATGAATGTAATATACCTTTTTTACTATTTCACTATTACCTAGGTGATTAGGTATAGTATAATTTTTTTAATTTCTTATTAGATGCTCAACAATATTTTTTAAAATACTAAACAATACCGAAAAAGGTGTGAAAATAAAAAACACATTAATAATAAAAGTTAGAATATTTAGCCGCTCCCAAAAATTTGCCGCCCGGGGCATTTGCCCCTTTCGCCCCCCCTTAAATGCGATACTGTATATGTTATGTATTATAAAATCAACCACGAATTCCCACCATTCGGCCAATTGTTTAAATCGCATTGAGAAATACCATTCAGGAACTACGACAACCATGGGAACCCGGAGGGGTGGCAAGACGGGGCATTTGTCCCACTCTGGAAAAAATTAATTGAACAGTTAATAACAAGGTTTGCAGTTGAACAACTGCGAAGTCTTTGGTTTTTATTTAATAACGATTAATATGTGAATAACCGACATACTTTATTGTTCGCTAAGAGTACATTTTTTTAACATCCTTTCGATTTAAATCGATTCACTTTAAAGAATCACCCATCTTTAGTGAGACATATCATTATTTAACATTTGACATTGTAAACTGTTCACATCGGCCGTTGTCGGTTATCACGTCACGCGTTATCAGCGCACACGCGTGCCATCTTTTTCACGGACTGTTCGATGCGCTCAAGAATCTTACGGAATCTCGAACGACAATAATTAACGATTCCGTCTGTGCTCCATCGCCGTCCGACGTCGCACGTGCAACGCGATGACCGTCGTTACCGTTGTGCAATAATAATAATAATAATAATAATAATAATTTCGATCAAGAAAGTGCGCTATCAGGTGCATACACGACGAGTTACGGACGATACGACACAAACGACGGCGATGCGTTTTATGCGACCGCGGTTGTTGCGCACGTCCTAAAAGTGCATCCGTAGGACTTGTTCGCGTTCGGTGTCCAATACATCGTTGTACGGTAACCGTCCCGTTAGCGCCCTCGGCGTTTACTTTGATCGGATCGTCGCAGGTGTTATCCACTCGTCGTATCGCGCATTACTTTTTTTTGCTCTCTCTCCCTCTCTCCCTCCTCGTCATCATCTGTACGTGCGTGCGTGCGTGCGTGCGTCCTGCTCCGTGTATCTTTTTGCCCTACCTCCTGGTCTCTTTATCTACATTTTTCTCCCGTAGCTCTGTCTCGTCTGTCGGTTCACCGAGTTAACGACGTTTTTTTCTTTTTCCCCGAGTGGTTGTCTAATTCAATTGTTTTCTTTTCGTTTTTGCACCACCGTTACGCCGACCACGTTTCCGCCGTCATGACGGTTTTGTCGAAAAAAAAGTCGCAGGCACATTCGGAAGATGGTGAACCGTCGTCCAGCGCGCATAATCTCGCTTTGCCGATGACCACGGCCCAAGCACATTCTCAGGTATGTACACGATTCCATCATTGCAGCTGGTGAGCAAGCACAAACGATCATCGGTACCCGATTTGTGTTCGGTCGGAAACGCAATGGTCTCTTTGATTGCTTTTCAATCGACACTCGCTCAGTTTATAATTTTGATTGTCATCGTTACGTACGCTTGTCTCATAGAATCTGAAAAAAGAAATAAAACATTTATTCCTTTTGGCGTATTTGCTCTGTCCTATACAACGTATTTGAATATTATATAATTTAGCGACATTTTAGTCCATCTTATTGCATTGATAATTTAACTAAAATAACCTTGTCTGATGACTCCCAGTAAATATTGTTGATTTTTGGTATTTCATTTATTCATTTTTGTAAGCTTTCGATAGTTGGAAAAAACGTTAAGTATCAGCAAATTTTTTTTTTATGAAAATAAATTAACTAACTTCGCCTTCATATCCATAACGTAAGATTCATGCTTTGATTAGGTTTTATTGAATACTTTCTGCTTCAACTTATTCATTGCCATTAAGTAAGATATCAATAGGTTCATCTTTCAATTATGTGGAAGTATTCATAAATTTATTTCTTCTTTATATCTTAATTTTAAGTGATCTTAGAATGAATTTGTCAACTGAGTCAAGGCTATTAGTTCTGAAGTTTTAACATGTACTTTATTATTTTCCTTTTTCTTTGTATTGATCTGACATATGTCGATAAGAAAAATACTTAATAAGGTTCAACTTGAGTATCTTTTTTTTTTATTTACCACAGCGCTGTGTAGGAAATCAAATATAACTTAATTAATATTTAATTATTCAAAATTATCAATTTTTTTTAACTATCGAAATGGCTCTTTTAACTTACTAAATAATAATAATTTTTATTATTAATTTAAGTTATATAATTATTTTCAGTATTGCTATAGGTAGTATAAATAAAATTTATCTTACAAATTGAAGGACCTTTGAATGCTTATTATATTTAATATATTTAACTATATTTTATTAGGATAATGTAATGTAAATACAAATTTTTTTTTAATTTCAACTTTTAATTTAGTTATCCTTTAATGTTGTATTAGAGTATTTTAAATTTAAATTATTTTCATAGTTGGTTATCAGCTATACATTTTGATTGCTATTAATATAAATTATATGATTTTATCTAAGTAAAAAAGTCTTGGTAGTTCTGAATAGCCATAAAGCTTTAAATGTTTTAATGCATACTACTGAATAATTAACTTTTAACTGATGATTTTATTAAAAACTAAAAAAATAAAACTCATAAGACATATTAACACTAATTATCCTATATTAGTTAATAAAATATTGTGTATTTAGAAAGAACATCAAAATAAAATTAAACTTACTATTTCTTTATTTTAAAATACCAAAACATAATTTGACGTGGTTTGAAAAATCACACACCCAGAATAAAAACAGATAATTGTATAGGAACTTATGAAACCAGCAGCTTTTTCATTGGATAAAACTGTCAGTGGAGGGAGATAATGTAGCTAATAAGTTAGAATTAATTATGTTTTTGGATTAAAGAAGGATATATCTTATGTCTAAAAATATTTTAAAATAACTAATGTATTGAGTGATTCAGCAAAAAAAAAAATTGATTCAAATTGGTGAATCAATTGATGTTAATTTTTTTTGGTAAAATTACTTAGTTTAGACTAACTGCATTGGAATATGTTTTGATGGCTATGTATGGGAGTTGAATTGAATTATTGGAGAAAAAATTATTTTTTGTGTCATGTTTTCGCGTGTAGGAATACATATTATTATAACAGAAAAAAGCTATTCATTGGCTGAAAAATATAATAGTGATATGTGGATAGCCAAGTCAGCTTTTTTAAGTGATATTTTTAACCATTAGATAAATTGAATATAGAAATGCAAGGAAAAATTGAACAATAGTTGATATTGGTTAGAAATTATAATTTCAATTACTTGGATTACTGTTTTTATTTTATTTTTTTGTGGTTAGTTGAATTGTAAATTTCAGGGTCACCTTCATATATAGTTAGGAATCACTGGTCTATAATCTAACTCATAACCTACGAAATAAATATTTATCATTTCTCTTAATTTTTAAAAATTTGCTGCTCTGTGCTACAGAACCCATAGCCCCTACCTAAATATGCCTCTGTATTTAGTTATTTGTTATAAATAAAAAAATGTATTTATTATTTTAGATAAATACATTAGAAGAACGAATCAGCTCTCCTCAAAGATGGTCTGTTGATAATATTGATAATGGATTAAGTTCTAAACAAGCGAAACGTAGGATTCAACGTAGTCCTCATAGGTAATTTATTTTTAAAGTAAAAATGTTTTATCTGAATAAAATGTATACTAACATATTTTCAGTGATAAGTAAAATAAAGTAAAATATTATTAGATTAATTTAAAAGATTTTCAAAATAATCAAACATTTTTTAAATGTGTCTAGATCTCCGATTTCCAAACTTTTTCAGCCACAGAGCCTTTTTTAAGCAGTATTTTCTCGTGGAGCCTCAAGAAATATTTAGTATTAAGTTTTATTTGTCTATGTTCTACAAAGCATATTACACATGATATGTATTTATATAGGAAGAAATTGAAAACGAGATAGTGTACATTTAGTATTATATTTATAAACAATATATCTGGCTGGGAAATAACTGGAATGTGAATGTGTATTATCTAAAATTAAAAAATTATCCTGACGAAGTACCTCCAATGGGAGGTCTCTTCACTCCGTCATTCCTGTTTTGTTTTTATTATTATATCAAATAAGCTTATTGTTTCAATTGTAACAGATTGCTAAATAAAGAATTAAGTTAAAAAAAAAAAAATTATATATTCCTATAGAGATTTTAATATTATTTGTATACTTATTGGTAAATTATATTTTGATTGAGTCTTGTAAAAATATGTATTTGCTTATTTTTTTAAATAATGATTAATAATTATTTACGTTTTTACATTTTCTATCATAAAACGAATGGAGCCGTTTAGAAACAACGGCGGAGCCCTAAAGGCTCTGTGGGACACAGTTTGGAAATTGCTGATATAGATAATTTAGACAAATAAAATTGTGTTTGGTCTATGGACTTTTTTGTATTGTTTTAAGAATTCTTGAACTGTAAGAGATTAGGTTACAATAGAAAATACTTTTAATTTTTATCATATGATTTTTAAATTTCAAGAAGTATAAGGAGTAATAAAGGACGAGATAGAGAAAACTGGGGAGAAAACCGACCATCCACGAATTTTATTTCATGTAAGTGTGGTTCTGTTGATGCGGATGGCCAATGTGATGCAGAAAAATGTGGATACAATAGTGAAGATGAACATGGAGAAGTTTCAAAACAATATAATTCCATGGATTGGGTTGAGGTAAATATATCTATTGTAGTATTATAAATTATAAGATTTAAAAAATAAAACTTCATAAATAAATTATTAATACTTTTTCCTAGTTTAATAATTTTTTAAATCTTACAAAGTATTACAATTAAGTAAAATATTTAAATTAATATTAATATCATTTGAATATGAAATTATTTTAAGATGTGTATAATAATAATAAAAAAAAAAAATTCTCATAACTCTGGTGATAGTAAATCTACTTAAAAATATTAAAGAACTTATAATATAATACAACCTTATAACCTATAAACTGATTAATATTTATACATTAATTCATATTTGTTAAATGAGATAAGATTTATAAATGAAAACATATGTTTTATACTATTTTTAATTTACTAAACACTAATTTGTATTTAAAAAATGATTGCTTTATTTAAATATTATTGAAAAACAACCTGATTAAATAAGATTTTTACTTTAATTTAACACTTTTGTTGTTTAATGATACCTATTAAAATTATATTTATAATTTATATTATAAATATTCAACTACAATTAGATAATAAGGCTTATTTGGTATCCGTGTTACGGAAAATTTTTTATAATTATTTCAAATACTTTGTATTAAATATACTTGTAGTATTCGTATTTGCATATAAGTACAGTGAATTCGTCGATATTAATTGTTTTGTGTTGAGTTGAATTATGTGTTCAATATAGCAAAAATTATAATTCTGTTGTGTTTTCAGCAAGATCGAGTCTTTGAAAAAAAGTTGAAAAAATGTGGTCTGATTTTAAAACAAATGAAAGATGATGGTGCTTGTTTATTTAGAGCTGTATCAGATCAATTATTTGGTGATCAAGATATGCATGACATTGTACGAAAACAGTGTATGGATTATGTTGTGAGTTATAATTATTCTTCCAACATATTATTTTATTGATTTTTGGTTTATTGTCTCATTATTTTAATCTTCTTTGTATATAGTACTATTTTTACAATAATGATTGTTAAGTTAATCATACTTTTTAGGCAAGCAATAAAGACTACTACATGCAGTATGTTACTGAAGATTTTAATACATATATTGCTCGAAAAAGGCTCGATCAAACTCATGGAAATCATGTAGAAATACATGCTATGTCAGAGTTATATAATCGTCCAATTGAAGTTTACTGTTATGACATTGGTAAATAAATAGCTATGGATTTTTAGAGTTCTTAAAACTATCATTTACGGTTTTGTTATTGTTTTCAGAACCAATAAATATATTCAATCGTGCAAATACATCAGAAACTTTAAATGCCCCAATCAGACTATCGTATCAAAGAGGTAGTCATTATAATAGTATTGTAGATCCCCATAAAGCCACTATTGGTGTAGGATTAGGATTACCAAATTTTTCCCCGGGTTCTGCTGATAAAAAATTGTTAACTGATGCAGTTCGTCAGAGTGAAGATTACATGTTGGAACAAGTATGCTTACTTTGTTAAAATATTTAATTAGAATTCTAAGTAGTTATTTGTTATATACTTCACTTATATATATTTTATTATTATAACATTTATCATTTTCATTATTTTTAGTATTAAAACTTAATGTTATTATTATTATTATTATAATTATTAGTCTCCGTTGTAATAAAACTGAGTTTAAATCATTATTGATTAATACATTTTTTTTTTAATTTAATAAATTACAATTCGTAATTTGTCATTGAAAACTAATTTTTTTTTTTATAGTAATTATTTCTTATTGATATATCCAAAATAATGAATGTATATAATTATAGATAAATTACATTGATTCTAGAATAATTATAATTTAAGATATATTTATATTTTATTATTTAGACCATGTTAGAAGATAAACTAAGAGCTACTGATTGGGAAGCAACAAATGAAACGATCGATGAACAAATAGCACGAGAAAGTTATTTACAATTTCTAAAAGATAATGAAAAGCGAAATAAAGTAATAATTTTAATAAAAATCTAAAGACATTAAAAAATTTAAAAATTATGTTATAATTATTTATTGTTATAGTGTGATAAAGAGTCTGCAGTAACATCAACTGCTACTTCTGCATCTGTTGTTAAATCTTATCAACCTCGAACTTCACCACCAAGATATTCAGTTGGACCAAAAACACCGCCTAACACGTCCCCTTGCAGAGATTATTCAAAATTAGAAAATTCACCGATTGTGGCATTACCTCCTCATCTTTTTGGTGAATATTTTTGAGTACAAATTTAATTTATGATCGATTACCTGTAACTTATTTTTGCATGTAGGTATGTCAAAATGGGAAGATATTGGAATTTTAACTCAAGTGTTAGCTACTTCACAACAAGAATACCTAGACAATTTAAAAAGGCAGCACGATGAGCAAAAAGAAGAAGTTGATAAACAGTTCTTGTATGATTTAGAAAAACCTTCAACTTCTCATTGATACTTAAAAGCTGTATAATCGTTTTAATATAATTTTTTTTTTGTTATTAAAAATCAACCTAAATTTTTTTTGCATATATTTTAATGATTACTTTAAAGTATATAAATTACATCATTTTATATATTTTATTGATTTTTAATTTTCGCAAAAACAAATTATTTTTATATATTTGCTGTGATTTTCTGCCGCATCATGCATTTTGATAAAATATGCTATATTCTTAGTATCTTGCTGTCATATTAGATTTATTAAAATACTTTAATGTAGTTATATTTTTTTAAATGTATTTTGTATACTTATATAGGTAAGAATATATCAAATTAAAATTATAAGACGTAGCAATTAAATGTTCACTTACATGCACAGAGTTTTGTATTTTGAATTTCACTTTGTGTATTACTTATTGATTATATATTTTTTGATCCATCATTGTTGGTTTGTGGGTGGATGAAAATGTTTAAAGAAACCACATATTGTTTTTCTTATATTTAATAAGTATTTAATCTATTTTTTAATAGCTAATTTTTAATTGCTTGAATTTATACGCAATAATGAGTTGATTGTTTTCAACTTCATTTTTACATACTGCAAATGTGTAAAACTTAAGTAGACTAACAATGTTAATTGAGTAAAAATATTATTAAAATATTTCATTTTGTTTACTAAAAACCTTTTTTTATAATTTATATATTTTGTAATGTAATTGATACTGCAACAATGGTATCTGTATTTTTTTTGTCAGAGTATAATGTAATTTTTTTTAATCTAAGTCTTCAATTCTAAAGTTTATGAAGTTGAACGTTTGCTTATCTTAGGTGTGCTCGTTAACAGTACAGAGTTAGATTATTTTATATATGTATCATATATTATGTGATACAATTTTGTATGGATATCATTATTATTGTGTTCAGTCTTATTTCAATATCAAAATATCTTGAACTGTTAAACATGATCTCTTAAGATTAAAGTCAGTTTTAAAGTTTAATTCTAAAAACGAGAGACTTTAAAAAACTTTTAGATCCCTTTTATTTACTCTAAAAATCAGAATTATTATTATTATTATTGAAAAACGTATAAATAATAATGAGAAGTAATTAGTAAAAAACAGAATTATTTATTAGAACTTGTATGTTGTTTAGTAGGTTCCTAGTTACTGGATAAATAAAGAGTTAAATTAAAGTGATTAACAAATTATATTTTTGTAATACACTATAGGTACTTGTTAGAAGTTCTGGAGCACACCTCTATAACTGTCAGGTTATTAGAATATTAAATAAAAATATTGTGATAGTAATATTTTTTTTGATTTTAATATTTACCATATAGTGTAATTGAATGTGTACCTATGATTTTTTGAATATATTATTTCATTTACAAAATACGTGACCTTTACTTTATTTATCAACTGTTGTATTAGTTGTTCTGTTACGCATAGCTAAAGTATACTTCAAATTCTTAACCAACTTTCAAGTCAAAATTCAATCAGCGATAGGGTTTTTTAATGATTTACAAATACATTAATACATAAATCAAAACTTAAGTGGTACATCATTCTTGATTGAATCGTAGAAACTATGATTCAATAACTGCAGATACCAATGCAGTTGACTTAGTCAAAATAGGATCTTTAACCAACAATATTAGGGGTTTTTGGCGCCTATGCCAATACCTTTTTAACAATAAATATGGTAGCACTAACTAATATGAAAAGTAAATGAACTCGAAACAATACAGAATTTCGGTACCTAGTAATAAAAGGGAGCTTCTGAGTCCATTTTTTTATACAATTTTTAAATATTTTTAATAAATAATTTTAATAATTTATTAAAATCACTTGTACAATTAATTTAAGACTTAATAATGAAAACATTTATTTAGAATGAGATATTAAAAACTTATACAAAAACGGTCAAGTTATTGGAATAATGGTACATAACGAACTAACACTTTATAATAAAAAAAAACTGTAAAAAATGTATAAACGAAACAGTGTTACAATATAGTATATTTCAGTATAATTCAGAAGTCCGCCTTAATATATTTTAAAATTGTAAAAAAAAAAATGGACTTCGAAGCTACTTTGATATATTTTAAAATTGTTAAAAATGAACTCAGAAACCTCTTTTATTACTTCTAATTTTGCTCAAAATGAAACGTAAAAAAAAATATCCTAATACTTCACAAATACTTGATACGTAGTACCCATATACATTTACGAGTCGGTGTTGCTTGATAGAATTAAGAATTACGATTGACTAACATTTTTCTTGCACCAACATTATTGTGTCGTATGCATTGCATTCAGTATACTAATATAATTTTATAACAATTGCTAATCAAACCGAAGCAGTGGCGCCGATCATCTAAGTCAGTGGTTCCTAAAGTGTGCACCACGGTGCCTTAAGGGCACCACGACCACTTTCTAAGGGCATCGTGGTCTACGGTTCATAACAAATAGTTTAAAATGTATAAAATTGATTTTTCCTTTTTGTTTTCGTAAAAACTTTATAGCAAATAATGTAATATTTTCTATTGTATAATCGGATATTCTCATTTTAACCCTATAATATTTTTGTATAATAATTATATTTATAATATGATATTATCTTATTTTGTATAATGAATATTTAAATGATTATAATTAGTTTTCAATTTAATATGGTTGATCAAATGTAGTTTAGTAGCTACTAGCTTACCTATGTACAATTGAACGATAGAAAAAAATGCATTTAAATATATTTTGTTCGGGTTAAAAATTAAAAAAAAAAAAAAAATGGCTTATTCATTGAATTATGTGGGCGCTTGAATCTGCAATTGTTAAATTGGAAAAACTATTGGAGGCTCCTTGATGTTCGATGTCATAGTATATTCTAAACATTTTGGCGCCACTGAACTGAAGTACCTTCTAAATAATTCGAACCGAAACATTTCAATAAATAATATGTGTGTGGACATTGTAAGCAAAACAAGGCCGTATTTGGGGGGGAGCCCAGGGTGTCTGGACCCTCCCACCGAAATTTCTTTAATATTTTACGAATGTTAAAAATACTTATTTATTTTTAATAACAAAATAAATATTTTCAGTCAAAAATGACTTAAGCTCCAATTAATCGTTGACTGCTTTTAGTTTTATATGATAATATCATATGAAAATATAATATTAATTTTAATAAAAGAAGATTAAATCTTTTTCTGTATTATTTTTAACCAAATATCTGTAGTTAAAATCAAAATTCAATGAAATTATAATATACATGTTTTGGACCTTTTCCGAAAAAAATTTATAGATATGGCCTTGAAGCAAGACCTTGCAAGGTGGTAGTTGCCAGGGGCGCAAACTATTAAATATAAGCGGAGACGTGTTAAAATTTTATATTTGACAGGAGTTGGGATATTTTTCCCAGAATATCCCAGAATAATGAATTATGCTGTATGATATAAATATGATTCGTACAAAACGCAAATTCATCTTTAAATGTTAAAGTTTTGTTATTTTTTTTTTTTTTTTAAAAATATACAAATAAAATATATAAATAGGTAGGTAATAGGTAGGTACTTATAAATATGTAAGAGACAAACAATTGCATTAACCCTACAATTGTGCCTTATTGTCTTATTCCTTTTTATACGAATATAAATCTATTGAACCTAACCAAAACTGCATTTTAATTTAACAAACATGAAGACAATTAAACATTGTTGATTTTTGTATTAAACGTGTCTCGCCAAAAATCCGCTGACTTTTGAGGTATGATCCTGGAAAAATAAAAAGCAATTTAATGTAGTAAGTTATTTGTGAATTATTTAATTACATTTAATATTATCAATGAAATGTTCGATTTCTCTGCGCAGGCCCGTTCATAAGGACCATGAACCAAAAGACCAAGGACCAAAAAGACATGGACGTGTTCAGACTTTTTAAGCTGGTCGTGCACAAGACATTTAAAATACAAATGCGATACCGGGCCACCAAAAGGGACAGAAAACACGATTTTAAAATTAAAAAAAAAAAAACCATTATTACCTACCTTATAATACATATATGAATATATTGAAATTTTTTCTAAATTTCTACTATAATTTGTTGTATAATAACGTCATATTGTTGGAATCATAACTGCGTCCCTTGGCAAAAATTGCTTCCGAATTGCGTCCTGGATATTTTTGGGGGCTATACTAGTTGCGCTCCGGTAATTTTTTAAGGTTATACTAATTGTGTTCCGATTTTTTTTTTTTGAGTGCATACTAATTGCGTCTCATATATTTAAAAAAACCAAACAATATTTCCCTTCTTATCCCATTTTTATACAGAATTAGGACTGTCTGTAATAATAATTACATAATGATTACTACTTTTTTTTTTATTTTAATGCTTTTTAATCCGGAGAATGGTTTTTAACAGATTTTTTTATCACAACCATGTCTTCTCCGTTTTCCCTGTCATTCGCCATGTCTGTGTTCCCTGTAGGAAGTGACTCCTGGATTGTGCATTATTTGACTGATGTATTTTGTTCTAGGTCTTCCTCTTGCTGATTATACTACTATAGGTAAGGCTGGGCAAGTTAATGATATTTTTTAACTCAGTTAATTGAGTTCATGTTTAATTAAGTTAACAATTAAGTTAATGCACATGAAAGTTACATGAATTAAGTTAAAAAATATCGTTAACTTAACTTCGATTAATAAGTGAAGTTAATTAAGCGTTGATATAAGTGATATATATATTTATTAACAATTTACAATAGTTCTTATTTAACACTAATGATAATGAAAATGTAGAAAAATCTTATTAGACTCTAATTAGAATAGAAAAATATACATTTCTTTGTTGGGATTGATTTGAAGCACTCAAATGTCAAATTTATGGTAATTTATGTACCGTTTGTTTTTATTCATTTTTCATATAAATCACATATGATAAATATAATTTAAAAAAAGTATTCTTTTAAATGTTCAATAATAATATGAAAACTAAAAATAATTACTACAGCTGAAAGTGTAACTCTAGTTACGTATATGTTCGTAAAAAAAAACGTTGATCAGGTCGCTCATTTTTTCGGTCAACTGGACACCATTTATTGTTTCCGGACCAGGGCCGGCTCAATGTGGTAGCAAAATAGGCCGCCGCCTAGGGCGGCACTTGTGTGGGGGCGTCAAATTTCAAATGAACCGAAGTGATTTAATTATTATAATATAATATAGTATGTAGAATTATATGTTCATTGTTCAAAATAATCAAAAATAAATATGTAATAAATAATGACTAATAATATACTATTGATACTTCGTTTACCGAGTAGGCACCAAAATCGTAATACTGAATATAAATAGAACGGAGATAACGATACATGCATTAGTCGACCACAGACGAATGCACGTTTTTATCGAGTTTAGAATTATTATTTAGTTGGAAAACAACGGTCAATAAGACAGCGGCATTTAATCACCTGCCTGACACGTAAATAGTTGTTGTACAGTGATAGTGGTAGTGAAGATCAAGTGCGTGAACGTGTACAATTTTTAATTTTTCGCATAAATCAAAATAAATTTATAACTGCAATACCTAATTGGTATTAATTTTGTTGGATTATTTCATTAATATTTATTGAATATGTCAGAGCAAAAACGTATACGGTTATCAGGAGCTGCATATCGAAAACAAAAATTAAAACGTGATGAAGAAATTAAAAAAAACTCTGGTTCTTTTGAAAAATATTTGAAAAAAAATAATGAAGTTTTAAATAATTCAGAAACACATTCTAACATTATTTTAGAAGAACCAAAAACCTTAGAAGTTACTGATAATTTAAAAGAAGTTGGTAACTCAGAACAAAGTTCCGATACCATTGACATTTTCAATAATGAAATAAACACAACTTTAGAAGAAAAAACGAGTTTTAAATCTAATGAAAATGAAAATAATATATCTGACCCCGGGACATGGCCAGCGATTTTTTCAGATTCATTACGACTTCAAATAGTAAAAGCAGGTCCCATTAAACCAAGTAAAGATTTCAAATATACCAGAGATGCGTTAAATCGACGGTTTACAATTTCAATTTTAAGTAAAGCATTAAAAAATAGTGAAATCATAGAACGTATGTCGTTAATATATTCTGTTAAAAATGATATTGTATACTGTTTTTGTTGTAAAATATTTAGTAGTGAAAATTATGCACTACCTAATTTGGCTATAATGATTGGAAAAACGTGCACAATATAGTTAAAGAACATGAAACATGTTTTTTCCATGGTTGCAACCAAAATACATTTTAATTCTTTAGAAAAATGTCTGCTGGATTAAATAGCAATCAAACTATAGATGCTGCCCATCGACGTGTATTAAATAATGAAACTCGGCATTGGCAAAATGTACTTGAGCGTTTAATGGCAATCATTGAATTTCTTGGTAAATAATGTTTACCTTTTTGAGGTACAAACGATGTTCTTTACGAAAACAATAATGGCAATTTTCTCGGACTAGTACAGCTGCTGGCAACATTTGATAGTGTTTTATCAGAACATGTTCGCAGAATTCAAAACAAGGAGTTTCATAATCATTATCTAGGTAAGGGGATTCAAAATGAAATTATACATTTACTTTCTCGATTAAAAATAAAATACTTGAAAAGTTAAAAAATGCTAAGTATTATTCAATAATTGTAGATTGTACTCCCGATAAAAGTAGAGTAGAACAAATGTCAATAACTCTACGGTTTGTTGATATTAACCGAGATACAAAAAAAGTAGATATTTGTGAACATTTTCTTGGATTTATTCCGGTTGATATTACCACAGGTCAGGAACTTACAAATGCAATATTGTCAGAATTAAGAACAAATAAAATTCCAATACAGGATATGCGAGGGCGAGGTTATGATAATGACTCAAATATGGAAGGTCGTCATTCTGGTGTACAAAAAAAAATTTTTAGATATAAATAGTCGTGCTTTTTTTGTACATACTCATACACTAAATTTAGTTGTAAATGATACTGGTAAATCATCAATTGGAACAAGTAAATTTTTTATTCAAGTTCAAGCTATATTTGTATTTTTAAGTGGTTCTATTCATCGATGAGCTGTTTTAAAAAAATATATAATACAATTAACTTTAAAGCCATTAAATGAAACTAGATGGGAAAGTAGAATAGATGCAATTAGACCATTCAGATATCAAACAGATGAAATATTTGATGCATTATACGAAATAAGTCAGGATATATCTTTTGATCAAATTATCCGATTAGAAGCTGAATTTTTAGCCAAAAAAATTAAAATTTTAACTTTGTGTGTTGCGTTGTAATTTGGCACTCAATTTTAAATCAAATAAATCTAGCAAGTAAAGCGTTACAGAAAGTAACATTAGATATATTTGGCGCAGGAAATATTTTATCTGAAACTATTAATTTTTTAAAAAAAACTCGATGTGATGAGAGTTTTAATACATTTTTAAAAGATGGCGAAACCATAGCTCTTGAATTGGATATTGAGGCTATTTTCACGCAAAAAACGAAAATACGTGCACGAAAAATAAAAACAGTGTTCTTTTCTTATGAACAACCAGATGAACCCATAATTAATTTAAAAACTAAATTTAAAGTTGAATTATACTTTTATATATTAGACGTAGCTCTCAATTCTCTCGAAGAAAGATTTGAACAATTACATAACCACTGCGATAATTTTAAATTTTTATATGACATAAGTAGTCATAAGTATAACGAAAGATAATATTGTGAAAAATTGTGTAGATCTCATTGCTACTATCAGAAAATGAAAATGTTAATGTTAGTAAATCAGATATTGATGCCATAGAAATGACAGATGAGTTAGTAGCAATATCCGAGTCAGGGGCAGATTCAGACCGAGATAACAGGGGGGGGATTTTTAACATGATATAGATATTTATATAGATACAATTAAAAATATTAATTTTGATATAGGTTATTTATTTAAATAAAAAAGTTTTTAAAAAAAAATTATATACAGTTAAATCCCGATTTACCGTTTAACTCCGATCGCCCCATTCGCCCCCTCTAGATCCGTCCCTGATCCGAGTTATAAAAACCCAATAGTACTCCGTTAGAAGTGTTACAGTTTATTGTAAATAATAACAATTTTGTACCAAATGTACCTGTAGCACTTCGTATTATTTTAACTATGCCTGTGTCGGTTGCATCTGATGAACGGAGCTTTTCCAAATTAAAAATAATTAAAAACTATTTGAGGTCTTCCATGAATCAAGAAGGTTAAGTGATCTTGCTACAATTTCTATTGAAAAAGAAGTAATGGAAAATCTGGAGTTTAAAAATTTACTGACTGATTTTGCCCAAGAAAAGGTTCGCAAAATTAATTTTATTTAATACATTTTTAATTTTGTAGTTATATATTTTTTAATGTTTAATTAAATACATATTGTTGATCTATGATAACGATAATGAATGTATAATGATGGTCAGAAATATTACTTGTTCTATTTCATACCCAACATTTATTTTAATTTGTTTTATTATTATTTTATATTTTGTAAAGAAAGCTGAGGTCAGTCAAAACATTTTTTTTTTAAGTAAAGCAAGGGTTCGTAGTTAAAATGAATGTCCATATTTTATTCAACCCTCCTCCTCTTTTCCATAAAATTAACTATTGCATAGGACAGCGTAAATTAGATTTGCCTAGGGCGGCAAAAAACCCCCATTGCCAATATCCCAGTTAGTAAATAAATAAGTAATATTAAAAATAGTTATTATCTAATACTCTCCATAACCTCTTCTTTACCTATGTCCTTGGTCCTAAGTATTAGTCTCAACGTGAGAAAAATAATATTTATAATTTTGCTACCAAAAAGAAAACGATATAGAAGAATCGAAAAATTTAAATGCTTATAAATAGCACCTAATTTATTAAAATATTTTGACTGTGAAATGTTTGTAAGTTAATATCGTTAAATGGAAATTCGTCGAAATATCCGATTTTGTTAAAACTTAATTTTGTACCAAAATAATAATAATAAAAATAATTAGGTTATAAATTATATTAAATAAAAATATAAAGATTAAAATTTGAAGTATTGCAATTTTGAAAATGAATATAGCCTTTATAAAATGAAGCAACTATATGGTTACCCATGCTCATATCGTAATTTATTAATTATTAATAAAAGTCGATAGGGTGAATCAATGAATTTCATAAAAATGATGAATAATGATGTTGGAATTTAATATAATATTAATAAACTAAGAGCTACCTATGATTTTCGTGATTTTTATCCAATTTTGTCTAAATAAAATATTTAAATGCTTATAGAATTTATTTTTGTAATAAAATAATAAAAATTAAAAATTAATTTTATTTTTTCATATTTAGTCGCAATTTCATTAATTTTGCAAGGCTGGGCAAGTTAATGATATTTATGGGTGACATCGCTATTTTTACCCAATAGTCTGAAAACGGTTGAGTACTTTTTCCAAGACCGGTAGGACCCCAATTGATTGTTAATACCGAGATAAATATGGTCTCATCTAAAATTTTTTCGAAATTTGTATCTTTATATTTTTCTAAATCTCATGAACTTGTTATCGAATGCGGTATTTTACAAAAATATTTTTTTGGTCTTGAAAATCAAAATTAACTTAATTAGAATAAATGAAAAAATATTACGTTAATTTCAAGTTAATTTGTAAGGAAATGAGTTAAGTTAATATATAAAGTTAATTTATCAGTAATGAAATAAGTTAAGTTAAATTTTAACTTATTAACTTGTTAATGTCCAGGCTTGACTATATATATATATATAGGTAGGTGAAAAATATGGTTTTCGCTTTTTATATTATTATTTTATTATTGCATTTGTAATTGTAACTGTATAAAAATATTATGTTTATTACCAATAGGCACAAATCTATTGTTTATGTATGTATTTTGTAATATTACCTATAGTAAAAAATATTATGGTATGGGAAAAAATGTAAAAGATATATTTTTTATGAATGCGAATCTACTAATACATTTTGATTCAAAATCTACCATTACTTGTTTTAAAAATCGTTATTTATTATCATCCATGTTGTACGATTGTTTAAGATGTTTGTTTAGTTGTTTTATATAAATATCAGTTTGTAACCTCTACACAGTATCGATAAATTGAAATATGTTTGCACAGGGCGCAATTAGTATTATAAAATTTTTTAAATGGAACGCAATTTGTAAGCGGCGTTTAAACTAGTATTAATTGATAATAATCCAATTAAAGTTAGAATTTTGCAGGTCGTGCCTGTGTTTTAGAGATACGACCCTAAGACACGCCTATGATAAGGATTCCCAACGCACCTTTGGAAACGTTATTGCGCCTTACTAGAGCAACGGTTTCCTATATTTTTACCCGGTGGTGCCCATTTTTGGACCAATTTTATAGAGATTTAATAATTAGCTGTCGCTCACCATAACATGGTCATGAGCAATCTCAAAATTTCTGGAACTGTTACGATGACTTCATCGCGTTTGATGGCACGGATTGCTGCGCTGGCCACTTGCGGGATCGAAATGATTGGCAGTGCAGACCTGAATTCAAAAAAAAAAAAAAAAACGTTTTCGTAAAAAAATCAAATACTTAGTACAGTTCGAAACAATGACGCGAAAGCTGTTTCCCAAACGGTGTTTTTCGCCGACCTTCGGTTCGTGCGAATCGGGATCGAAACGGTTATTTTTGCGGGTAGGTGTGCGTTTGCGGCCGACCGGAGAGGACGATTTACGAAAAATAATTTTCTCTTTTTCCATGCGTGAATTTTCATTTCATCGTAAAATGTTCACGCCCCGGTTGTGCGACAATCGTCAGCGCTGGAGTTTCGCCGCAGTTAATGAACGGCCGTACGTACGTGTACGCGTGTGCCAACAAAAACATTTGTATACAATTGATGCAGCGAGAGTAAAAAATGCGTTCAAAGGTGAGCTCGATGTGCGATTGAATTGCAGTAAATTATGACATAACGTTTTGCGTCGGTTGTCGCCGGCGGCATGCACACGTTTTCCATTGTAGGGAGACGCATATATGTTTTATCGATATGTACTGCCTTCGATAGTAATTTTTTTTTTTTTATAAATGTTGTGTTTTAGGTACAACCCGCATGCTAACGATATCGTGTGTAACTTTAAGACGGACAGCGGTGTCGATTAATGGACGGAAACACAACGAGACGGATAGTGTTAAGTTAAATATGATTTTAATACAGCGGCGTTCTGGAAGAATACCCATTGGTAATCGATTCGAAACTATCGCCGTGACATTGTAACATTTGTTACTGACCAATGTATAAGCGAAAAAACGAAAACGCGTACGGCCTACAAACCTCTCGTCGTGTACACTCGTTCGAGCGCAATGTACGTCAAACGTATTTTTTACTCACTTAACTTCCCAGTGTTTCACGTTGATCGGGGCCGAGTCCAAAAAGAATGGATGGACAGTAGTGAATTTTATGTTGTTGGACGGGTTGACTCTAAGCTCTTCTCTGAGACTAGCCATGAGCCCTGTGAGAAAAACGAAATCGATAGATTATACATCCAAAGTAATTGAAAACGTGGCGTAAACTAAAAGTTTAATATATATATATGTAAGTCGTGCTTTTTCTCTCTTTCTTTTTAGCATGTTTACAATTGTTTTTATACTTTCTGTTGGTCAGTTTGTCGTCATCACTCTGTCCCATCCCTGTTAACGCTAATATAGGAACGTATATATAAGCAGTGTTGGGACTTATCTAGATATATTTATTTAGATAAATTTTTTGTCATCTTTTATCTTATCTAGATAAATAATGCCAAGTTATCTAATTACTTATCTAAGATAAAATTTTTACTTATCTAGATAATTTTCTATATTCTTGCCAAGATTAGAGTTATTTTTATTCTTGTACGGAGACGAATCCAATAAATCAGAGATCATCAAAATCGGTCCAGCCGTTCTTGAATTATAAATTCTGTAAATAACTTGACTTTCTTTTATACATATAGATTTTGTATTCATAATCACAATTCGTGTATTGTTAATAAGTAATTATTATTTCTTGGTATGTCATTTTATTTGTACTTTCACGTCGGGAAAATATTTTTGGTATTTTTAAACTTAATTTCTTATATTTCCATGGAAGTTCCAAGTATAGTAGGTATTTGATTTTAGTATACATACGTAACTCATACGCTGAATAGTTATTACTTCACTCTTGGAACCCGTAAAGTCGTAATTACTTATAAAATAATGAAAATCATCAAATTAATATTATATGGAGAACAATATTGTTAACTTAAAATATTTTTTTATTATATTTTTTTATGTATTTTGTATTCATCCTGATACTTACAGAGCAATTTTCATTTTTTTTTCTGTAAAATTTTAGTGATTAACTGGCTTTAAATATTGTACATAATTTATAAATACTGTTTAATGGTACACTACATTACTACAATAAACATTAAACACCTAGGTACCTATTGATAATAATGGTTACAATCAGGGACGTATTTAAGAGGTGGGCCCATAGAGCCCCCCCCATTCACCGTATTTTATACTTTATTTATTATTGTAGGCCCTTTTTCACGCACGGGCACACGGTGAAATACTGAAATATCAATATATTATGATAATATGATATCATCTATTGAACGAATTACCATTGTATACACCCTGAAATAATTATAAAACGTGAAGTCATGCATATGCTAATAAACACCCCAGACGTCTTCAGTTATTGTAATTACAAAAATTATATTTAATTATATGTTTTATTACAAATTTGTGTAATAAAAGTTTTTGTTTCTATCAAACACTTGTATTTTGATTATTTGGTTATGAATAACGACAGTTTTGTTGAGATGGAAAAGTTATAACTATATATATACTTTGAACTTTTTATTTGTACCCCCCCCCCCCCCCCAATAAGAAATTCCTAATTACGCCCCTGATTATAATTGAGTCTTCATAGATATTATTAGAATATGAAATATTGACCAAAAAATAACATTTTTTGAAAATATCTTTTTTTTTATCTAGATTATATATATTTTAATTTTTTTTATCTATTATCTTTATCTAGATGGATTTGGACATATTATCTTTTATCTTTATCTAGATAAATTTTGCATTATCTATTCCCAACACTGTTGGCAAATATGATATAGTAAATGTAAGTTTGTAATGTGCAAATATTTAAAATTTACAAATTAAAATGTCTATGTCTACGATTATAATTGTATCGAATGAATGTTTTTGAAAAATAATTTAGGATACATAAATGAGAATAAAATTAATCATGGCTGAATCATGTGAACTTCGGATTTAACATCTGTCGGTCATCGCATATACGCAGTGCCGCAACTACAAAATAGGAGGCCCGTGTGCGGTAATTATTTGGGCCCCTTCCTAGGATTTATTTTTGTTCAATTTAAGTATCAATTTTTTTAGGTTTTGAAACACATTTCACATCAGTTAGTGTATGATATATGTATATATATATATATATATATATATATATATATATCAAATTAAATACCTATAACTGTTATATATTATACTTTATCACATATTTATGTAGTAAATTCATTTAAGTAGTTTAGGTAGGTATGTTGTACGCCTACTCAAATACTCAATGGCCTCATTGTTAAATAAATATTATATTATTCTAAAATATTATAACAACTTTACCTACATTTTTAAAAAATTTTCTTTTTATTATTAAATAATTGTGTGTTTGTAAAGTGTAATTTATTTCAGGCTGGGACTAGGGGACCCCCCAAATTTATGTAAGCCTTGGGATCCGTGTACGCGGCACACCATGCACACCCAGTTTTTGCGGCACTGCATACACGTACGATCATATACGCTCTTCTTCGCCTATGCTGTCAGGTATATGGTCATTATTTCGATTACGATTCGTTCTCCATCACATTGGTCACGAGATCTGTTAGATCTCTTTCACCGAGCACATACTTTCAACCGTCCCACATGATTCCTAATTAAGTCTAAACATTTATATTCTTTGGTAATATTAAAATCTAAATATCTGTGTTAAATATCTATGTTATGCGAAACCTGTCTAAAGTGAACGTTAGATGATGTTCGAGAACCTGCATCATTTGACGGAAATTATATTCGGCCCTTTACCGCTTAAAAACCGTACACAGGTACTGCGAATAAATCGAGCTTCAAGGTGATCGCAGTGTTTCAAATGGTTCAATGGAGAACGTAATACATATCTATCGACTGCGCTTTAAATGTATGAAGAAAATGTAATAAATGCCGTCGTTAGTGATCAGGCAACTTAGGCAATCGCCTAGGGCTTCGCACTTAAAATAAATTCGGGGGCCCATAACTTGTCAAGTTAAAATAGTGGGATATAATTAGGTGTGAGGAAATTGTATTGATTTTGCCTAGAGTCTCGCAAAGCTTGCCGCGGCACTGTTGTTATTTTATACTGACTTACCCGTGACACCGTATTTGGTAGCCGCGTAAGGGACAATATTAGCTGCACACGTGAACGCAGCCACAGAGGACGTGGCTACGATATGACCCTCGTTGCGTTTCTTCATAGCTGGCAAAAACGCTCGAACCATCTGCAAAAAAAAAAAAAAAAAATAAATAAATAAATAAAAAAAAAATTAATATATATATATCAATAAAAAAACCACGGTTGGTACCACTTCATAATCGCGCATAAAATACCGGAGACGCAAAAATTAAGGACCAATGGTTTAAATGGCTCTGTGGCAAATTTATTTTTATTATACTTAGCAGGGGCGCATCAAGGGGGGGACAAAAGGAGCAGTTGCTCCAGGCGACAATAGCGGCAAAGTGTTTAAGGACGGCAAAAAAGTCGATAATATCATTATTCATTTGTATTTAAAAATAAAATTGAATTGAATAGATGGGTATTTATTATTTTAGTTTATTATTAACTTGTCAGAATATCTAGAATTGTAATTTAGGAACCTATATTGGGATTTTTGGTTGAAATATAGCTGGAAACTTAATCATGTATTTAGTTTTATTTTTAGTATTATACTATAGTATATTATATTATAGTATATTATAGTATATTTTAGTATTATTGGCTATACCTATTGTATTAAAGCTACATATAATAACCGTGTGGCCCACACACAATATTAATATATATGAAATTAATTCTTCGCAAAAGGAAAATTTAACGAAATAGCTATGATAAATAAAGATAAAATGTATTTTATTGTCATTGTTTTTATGGTTGTGATCGTTTGGTGAAATACCTGTTTGTTGAAGTCTGTTGAGTTGTGTTGTACTGTGTAAGTTTATTAAAAATGCCCAATTTTAATTTTAAATGTAAACGTTTGAGTGGTTCACAGCATAAAAAAAAAGGAATAGCAAAAAAAGAAAAAGAAGAACAATTAAATAGAAAATCGGTAAAATTATATACCTATTTTAAGTTAAAGGAAAGTGTACCTACATTTTATTATTGTTTCAATTGATTCTTACTTAATAACTTACAATATAAAATTTATTTATCATTGGCGCGCGCACACATATGTTTTAATTCTTAACAAAACATGTTGCCATCGACCACCCATAACTTGGGTATATAATATATACTTGAATAATTATACTTAAATATATTAACTTAAAAAAAGGTCATTTCCAAATAAATGATATAGGTAACATATTATTGCAAATATTATCACTTTTAATTATCTAATATAATTATTTATTATTATTATTATTATTATTATTATATCTTACAACCACAAGACATTATAAAGGTTTGTCTCTACTAATGTTTTTATTACAAATAAAAGTAGTATGAATTAATTTTTTCTTTTCAAAAAATTTTAATTTTTATAGACACCATCAATTATTTGAATTATTATTTTAATATTTTTATATTTTATAACATTTGTTAATATGAATTAACCACATAGTTACTAATAAGCTCATATTTATACAAAAACTTCTTTATTTTATTTTTCGTTTGTCCTCCTAATAACGTAAACCGTAAACTATACTCGCAAAGAAAGATCTATTGACATATTAAAATGTAATACACTAATTTACTTACACGTTATAATATATATTAATGCGTGTTTTATATAAACATGCGTGGTAGACAAGAATACCGTAAATTCTTTGTATAATGAATTTTCGAATGAATTAAAACCGAACGAATCGAAGTTTATTATCATACCCGTCTTGGTAGAACTTAAAACTTATCTTTACTTTACGGTAAAGAATACAATTAAAATTGAAAGTGTTTGCAAACCACGTCTTCGTGCGCGCTTCTGGTCTAACACCGAGCGGTCATTTGCGGTCCGAAATATTTCGAAAATGTTTGGAAGTAAAACGATCGCGAAACAATAACGGTACGCTCACGTTTTACGAAAAACGATATCCGGACCGGTATCCGCAATCAATCCGTCGGCGCGACGTTTTCGTGATCAGCACTACGCGCAGCGGCGCACGCAGAGGGGGGTTAAGGGGTTGCAACCCCTCCGAAATTTTCTCCGATGTCTAGGTTAAAATTTACAAATCTTACAAGTTTGAAATATGAAGAGCTAGTATTGAATATCTAGTATCATTGATTATAGAATAGTCTATTATTTTATCAATGCTATTATTTAAGTCAAAATATATTAAGGATTTGCATAATTTTGTTAATTGTAAAATATTTTTACCTTGACCCCCCCCCCCCCCCCCCCCGAAAAAAAATCCTGTGTGCGCCACTGACTACGCGTGTTCGAAAGACCGTTTTACACGTGCGCTTAACGAAACAATCGATCTGCCGAAACGCTGCGGAACACGTGATCCCGGGACGCATTCGGGCGATCGTTGAATTTTTAAACGGATCGTTATCCCTCGCGCACCGAGAACTCGTGCAATATTAACCCGTACGAAGCGGGTACGCGCGCGCACGTGTATAAATAATAAGTGGTGGCGCACGAGCGTTCGCGGTCTTAGGGGAACCCCCCGGCTGAAATTTTTACCGGTGAACCCGAGCGCCGGCCGTCCGGAACCTAATCGTTCTACGGGCAAGCCGGGCAGCGTTAAGGGGTAACAAACGTACGCGTGTTTATAAAACGGGTATTCGTTGCCGCCCGAAAGTGTTATCGCACCGGCGGCGGTTTCGTTTTACGACCCTGCACGCGCGTTCGGAACTATCGCGGGAGAACCGTACACTTTTACGACCGACGTCCAGAGACTTGTTCTCCTGCCAGGAGCGGGGCGGTTGCTCCCCCCCCTTCCCCCTTAGCCGCGGATACGATCGTTTTGGGATTCGAACGGGATAGGCGCGACGGCGGTCTAGTTCCCGCGCGGCAACGAGCTGCCGGTTTAAGAGTTTCCCCTCCGTCCGCCGGGCTTTTATCCCGGTATTCCTGCGGGTACGTTTGTGCCGCGCGCGTTTTACATATCACGTTTTACGTGTCGCACACCATCCGAAACGCGCGAGTTTGAACGTGCCGACCCACGCGGTCGAGTTCCGCGATCTTGGCGACTTTTTGTCTTTCGCGTTCGCTTCCGATCGTTTTTGCGTCGCGAAACGGTTTTTCCGTTTACTGCGAGTTCAGTATACTCGTACGATGTCTTTGCTGCGTCCCCACGATTACTCGCCCCTCCTCGTGTATACGTGTTGCACGATTTCACCCCCTGCAATACCCGAAGCCACTCCCTCACCGAAAGCCGGTGTCTAATAGGAACTCCACGTAATCGTACCTACTCATAATAGTCCATCGGCGAGATCGGTTCGAAAGCATGCGTATTTTACGTTGCATTGTTCGTTTGTAGAACGAATAGAATAATAATAAAGGTACTTGTAATCACAATTTTTTTTACCGCCGTAATAATATTATCGACTGATTGAATTAGGTGTTCGGAGTTGTTTCGCGAGACGTTTTACCATTATTTTTAGATTAGAGCAGTCACTGATTATAAACTCGAAAACTAGGTCCACGATTACCGTTGTATGCGATCCAAGGATGCTTATTTTTATTTATTTGTACAATATTAATTTACATGCTCCTCAATTGGTAGTTATAAAAAAAAATATATTTCCTAGTCCACTATTGTTTCGATGAGATTTTCGAAAAATCCTTTCTTATTGCACGTTTTTAGTTTACACTTTTTGTCCTTTTTGATAAATATATATCGATCAGCGAGCGAGTGTATTTGGAATTATACATGTGTATATTAGTAAAGCGCATTACTCAAACCTATTTCAGTCCGTTTTCGACAATCCCTCGTGGACGGGATCGTTTATAATTCGATAACTCTGTCCCTCCCTCGTCCTCACCGCAATTGAATACCTACACGTCCAACGCGCATATTACAAGTGTACAATAACGCACTGCAGAGACAACGTCGACGGGCATAACATTAATTAACGTAACATTAATTGCATTTCACGCGAGCCGATCGCCATGACACTACCATAAATGATTTGCTGCATTTAGAGGTCGGGTACGCGTTTACACGCGTTGTTCACCATCACGCCGTGCGCGCGTTTCGACAATCAAATGGAAATTGAAATCTCATCGGACGTGCAATAACGCTGTGCCGTTATTGGCAGAAAAAAAAAACACGTTTAGCGCAGCGGCGTCGATTATAAACGCATTACCGGCTGTATTAAAATAATCGTACCGTCGCGTAATCGAAGACGTTTAACCTGACAAACGTGATATGACGATGGTCTGGCCGTACGACGGACGGTGTTCGCGTACGCCTTGATTGATATGCAATCGGGGGAAGTAGGTCGTACGTGCACAACCGTCGAAGTACCGCCCCGATGATGTGTCGGGGATAATTTTTCAGAGACGGCTAAATCTGCGCGTTTGATTTCAACTCGTTTACGTCAAGACTTATCGCTACACTAAAAACGATCAAATACTTTAATCGATACGAAACTCGAACAATGCGATCAACCATAAGCTATTGAGTACGATTAAAAATAATACGATTAGCATAGGATATTGATGTTTTAAACGAAGATAATAGTTTTTTCTTTATTGTCCATGATTATAACACAGAACGTGGTATTGATGTCGGAAAAGTTTCTATTGTAATTACAAAATTGAGTACGCACGATAGGAGAGTAGTCATAACTAGTGATGTGCACTATCGAATAGTTTACACTATCGAATGGTATTTGATAGTAAGCATAAACTATCGAATATTATAGTCGAATATTATTTTATATGACCGAATAGTTTTTCATGGAAAAACTATTCGAATATATCGAATAAAAAATCAAAATGTTAACGCGTTAACGTTTTTTGTCAATTGTTATTCTTATCATTAATCAGTTAGCACAATAGTGATTAGGTATCTCAAAATAAAATAAATATTATTTAAGCTAAGCTAATTTCAAATTTTACTGAATAATTCAGAAGTCGTAAACTATCGAATAATTTTAAATTATCGAATAGTTCGATAGTACTATTCGATAGTGCCCATCACTAGTCATAACGATGGAATTCAACTTATGATTACAGCTAAACGGTAAGAAAGAAATAATAAGAGGGCAAATACCCCTCCCCTAGTTATGCCACTGGGTACAGTGTACACTGTGGATCGGACAACATATTGTGCTTTAGTGCGATTTGTGGATATCGGCTTAACGATTCCATACTAATCATATACATTTAAAATTTTCCGTAAATGTTTATTTCGGATCGAGTAAATATTTGCATGCGGTGACCTTTAAGATTTGAGATTCGACGTGGATGGGTAATCTCTAATCGAGTCGCATATCGATTTTGTTCATTGATCTTATATGATTAATTATTCGAAGGTAATGTTAGGTGTGAAAAATATATAAATAATTTTATTTCAAATTTTGTTTTAAAATTAGCACATTAAATGTAAAATAATTAAAATCCACGTTACCAAAATAGTATTCGAAATCTCGAACATTTGAATCGGCTTTTTTTTATCAACTTTTAAAATTTAAAATAATGTAAAATAATTTGTATTTTAACGAATATTGAAACATTTAAGTTTCGAACTTTGTGCTGTAAGACTTGTGATTTTAATACAAGCATATAAAAATCAATTCATCACGTAATACGTATCTGAGTAACGATTGAGATACTACATCAGATTTAGCACCGAGAACATTAATTAGTTGCTTTCAAACACATACAAATAAAATATGTAATAAATGCGTTCTATGACCTACAAAAGAGCAAGCTTGTTTACCTTCGACCATTTCGTTCTTGTCTAGCGATGACTCGAAATCGTCACATGGACCATATGCTCGATTTATTGCCCATGTACCCAGGGGCGGATTGGCCTATTGGGAAATCGGGAATTTTCCTGATGGGCCGGTCCTTGTTTGGGCCGCTCTATATTATTATATAATTACCAAAAAAAAGTTTTATTCTATAAAATAAATAAAAATCACTAAAAAAAATAAATATACATTTAAAGATGCATTAAAATCAAACTTCAAGTTCAAGTTTGAACTGATTAATCGTATGACTTATTCAAAACTATTATAGCTATAATTATAATAAAGTTATTGTAGATTTTACTAATTTAGGGGTGAAACTAAACAAATTTTGAAATTGATGCAAAATAAAGCATTTTTTGGGAGAGGGAGGGGTAAAATAGTTTAATGTGTGGTTCATGGGCCGGTTTGTTTCATATTTCCCGAGCTGAAAATAATTGCCAATGTGCCCCTGCATGTACCCTATAAATAATGGGTGCATCATGCGCGTTAAATTGGATGCTCTGTATAACACGGACCACCCAATCGACAGAAACCCGGGTTGCGTTAAAACGATTCCGAATTGTATATATATATATAGCAGGGGCGGTCAAACGGTCGATCGCGGACAATTTCTGAGTCGATCATGTTAGAATTTATTTTTAGGCCACGTGCACAACAATTAATCGTGGTAGTTATGAACAAATTGTCGATAAGTTTTACTTGTAAAGTTTTTATCTTTTATTCTGGTTTATAAAAAAATTTCCTAGAAAGTCGATCTTCAAAGGTGAAGTATATTTTCAGTAGATCGTGGTCGAAAAAAGTTTGGCCGCCTCTGATATATAGAATATATATATATATATATCACCTATATAAAAAACATAAAATAAAATACTAAAAAATAAAGTCAATGAGAAGTAAAAATATGAAGTTGCATTATGTTATAAGCATTAAAATAAAAAAATCTTATAGCACAGAGTAAGGTAGGTATCTAATATGAATATTTGAACAAGTAGTCATGACATTAATGCATATTGTCCCATAATCGGCACAGACATAAATTTGAACATTTCTCAGAGGATAATTCAATTAAAATTAAAGACTTGACTTCATTCGATTCTTCTTAAAATTTCAAAACTAGTAGTATTTTTTAGAACGTAAATCGTTCTTACATGTGATAAGTTATCATTGTTTGAAATCAACACAGCAGGTGATAATGTAACATTCGTTTATTATAAAAATTATTTGATAATAACTTTAACAGTTTTAATCCTAGAGCACAGCACCTTGTATTGTTTTTATGCATCTGTTTGTGCCAAATCTGGCCATGCATGCAGTTTTGGAATATCTCAAGTATTGAATAAGCTAATAAGGAAAAACCGCTTTGTGCCACATATGGTACAATATACAGTAAGGGGTTAACTTAATAGTTTCGTACGACCAGTAATAATAATAATAATAATAATACATAGTACCTAAAATAATTATAACATTTTCTTTAGACTAATGTTATATGTAATTACTGTTTTCGCCAACGAGTTGTAGAATAACAACATTTAGTGGTAATTAATGTTTCGACGTAATTATAAAATATTGTATGCAACTTCATTTAATTTCGTTGGGTTGCGAGTACGTTGTGTGTAGTTGTCGACGTATAGTATTTAATTAGTTTTTCATTAATTTAATCGATTAGCTCTACGGCGTAAACCATAATATACACAAGTAAATACACGTAAGCTGTACATGTGTGATATGTGTACAACAACAGATACATTTTTTATTGTTGTGGGTCACGTGAAACGGGTATTTTGACGAGAACAACGGTCATACGCATGTGATGGAAATCGGTTCTTAAATTTTGACCTATTTATAAAGCGCGGATTAAGGTTTTTGCGCCTAGTTGGTCAGTTTGTTATCGACGTGAAACTCCAATAGAATGTTCCTATTTTGTTTTCTTACTTCGAAGCATAGCATAGTCTAAGTACACGCGCACATAGGAATAACGGTGATGTTTTACGATTTTGCTGTGCTGGTATAAATGTGAGAGACAATGAACAATTATTTGACCAGTACCAAGTCAAAAACAAAAAAACCAATTATGATAAATATAAATATATAGAAATGGTGAAGGAGCGCTGTAATTAGGCTAACGATTGAAGGGCTCCGTGCAACAACCAAACAAGTTTACTTTTTTTCGAAAGTCACTTTTTGATGTTTTCGTTCACAGTTTCTTCTTCTTTACATTTGTATGCTAGAACGAGATAAGTCTAATGGTTATTTACGGAATTATTGAGTAAATGGACTTGTTTTGTTTAAGATACTACGAGCAAGAACCAGATAAGTCCGGACTTGTTTGATTCTTGTCCAAAACTGTTGGCTATATTGTAAAATTAGATAATGCATAACAAAAATGTAATAGTAAGCACGGATGTAGACCTGATTTAAGATCTTAAATCATGTTTGTAGATTACAGATGTCAATATTATACATAATATAGACATCAGCCGTATGTAGATATACAACCGTGATAATAAGTAGTCAGTATTGATAGTAGTAATATGTAGTAATAGTAGTTTAAGTTATGGGTACTTTCTAAAATATATCTCTAATAAAAAATATAACATAATATTGGACATAATACTTTATAAATATATAGGTACCTACATTAGTAGGTAGTTTCACAATAATAAATATTATTATTTAGTTCTTAAAAAAACATATGTTTCATACTTATAATACTAAACAATTTTTCCATAAAATTTCATTAATTTATTTTATTGACCGGTATTAAAATTATTTACAAAACTGTTAATAAAGTGTTTTACCATATTGTATGAGAAATAAATACATTATTTTAAAGAAAAACATAAAAAACAATAAAATTTATTATTTTTTTTTTACATTTTATGGGCAAAAAACCAGGTAAGTCCATATGTTTCATAGCTATTCCAAGCTATTTTAGAAGATGAAAAACTTATTTTAAATTAATATCACTCATACATTTACATATAATCAAAGAAATTCATGTAGTATTTACAAATAAAAATATAAATTTTTAAAGTTTTGGTAATACAAAACATGTCTCTTGAACAATTTCAAAATTTGGACTTGTCTGGTCGTTGCACGAAACCCTTCCATTTGTCTAATGTAATTTTCGGAAATATTTAAACTAAAGCAATCTAATTCCACTTCAAGCATTTACTTCCATTTATGTTATCTAACAAATATCAAAAAAAAAAAAAAAAAGAAAACAACAATAAGTCTTCAGACTCACAGAACTACACTCGCGCCACCGTTGATCGGATTGATTTGCGCTACGTGAAGTTTTCACAGCTGTTAAAGTGGTATATTTTCTTTTTTTCCGTCGGTACAATCACGCCAGTTCGTGTACGAACAAATGGGGTGATTTAAAAAGGACGTGAGAATAAATGGATATCGGTAAAATATCTATCAATAAGTATTACCTGCCCACAGCGGATGAAAGTACGTATTTCTCATCTCGCGACTTTTAGTTTCAATCGGACTTTTACCAGTTGAATCGTAATATTCAACGTCAATCACCCATTTGGCCCTCTACTATTTTTTCATTCGTGATACTCTGTACGAAATCGCCACCCACGCTACCAAGTGTTTCTCGGAACACTTTCGATTTCAGCGTGTTTGTAACTGTTTTCAATCAAAAACTCTCCGAATGTCTGTTTAAGGAAAAATCGAAAAAAAAATAATCATGATTCCGCGGTAATGGTGTTTTTCGTCCGAATATACACAATCAACGGAATCATTTGGTCGAAGAATTTGCAAACAGTTTCATCGGAATAAAATTAGGGTCAGGGAGCATGCGAAGGAAATCACTTAAAATATCCAATTCGTCTTGTAAAGATATCCCTTAGAACCCCAAATCACAAGTAATAACCACTTAACCACCGACTCACCCAAAAGTGCGACACCAGGTTGACGTCGATCATGCGCTTGATCTGTTCGTCGGTGTTCTCCATCAGCGGCGCGCTGGCCACAATGCCCGCGTTGTTGATCAGCACGTCCACTTTGCCCCATTTTTCCTCCACCGTCCTGGCCAGCTCGTTCACCTGATTCGGCTCGGCTACGTTTGTGGTGTAGTGATCGGCCACCGCGTCCTTGCCAGTTCGGCCGCCATTGATCATGTCCGCCGTTTCCTTGACGCCATCCGCGTTTATGTCCACGCAGACTAACATCGCACCCTCCTTGGCCAGTTGCAAGCTCATTTCCCGACCCAGTCCCCTGCCGGCACCCGTCACCTATTTATCGAAAGTACTTATGTTGTAGGTTTAGTTTTTAGTATATTTTTTTATTGTTATGTAAAAAGCCCGAAATCATCTCATTAATCGGAGTAGTTTTGTCTCGATGTGAGGAAGCGAACGGATCAAAAAACGTTTTAAATCTAAAAAACAAATAAGGTAAAAACTCCTTAAAAGCTACTGGTCGAATTTGGTTGTTAAATATTTATGAAAGTATTGTCTGAAACGTGGCTTCGAAGATAAACAGATTCGGAGAGCAAGAGAGAGAAAGAACGTATATGATGGCAGCACTGAATGGCTCTGAATAGATCTCCAGTTCAATCGTGCTGACAGAGGATAATAATACTTTATTAATTAATAATAATGATCATATTGATAATGATCATAACCCATAATTTATATTCCATAAAACCAGAAACTATGTACATGCACATAAGTGCACTTTCAACTGCGAATAAAAAAAATGTGCACCTAATAAAATAAAAATCCCGCGCGACAAAACGTAGATAAAAGTTTGTACAACATAACGTTGATGATTTTTAAAACGTGCCCATTTAACGTTACGACCATCGTCTACTTATACGAATCTCCATTTCGAAGTTGAATAAAATAAGGAAAACTGAGCGTAGTATAGTTTTTTTTACTCGTCTATTAAATTTATAAACCCATCTCGTTAATTCTAGCTGAGCAAATTAAATGAATAGTGAGCATTTTCTGCGAATCACCCTGTGCACGGTTTATTTTCGAGACATATATTTAGTAGCATACATATTACATATTATAGTACCAACATTAGTGTTTGTAGTATTTGTGGGTAGACCTCATCAAAACAATTGACTCTGTTAATGTCTTGAGTAAGCGTACCTCTACGACGTACTTAACGTTAATGTAAATTTTATTACTCCTGCGTCGTTTGAATTTTATATATACTTACGAGTATGACTTTATTTTTTAAAGATTTTTCCACTGGATAAATTGTTATATATGCCAGGTGGATGATTGAGTATATCGAGTAAATAATTCCGACTAATGTTTTCGTGATAATTTGTAAACAGTTCATTATGAAATTTGAAGATGCCTCTTCTTCTGAAAACAAAAAAAAAAAAAAATAAAAAACAATTATATAAATAATCCAATCTAGTTGGTTTTTGATGGTCTCTAAATCATAGTTTATTAGTTAAATTAATAATAATTTTAATGTTTGGTTAGTTGGCGATTATTTTATCGTTAAATAAGTTAAACAAAAACATGATGAAGTAGTTTTCAGAACGGTTTTATTGTTCATTACCAAATCCGTAAATAAGTCTTTTTATAGGAACGAACAAATAATTATATTGCAATCGAATATTTTTATAAATAATTATTTCATCAAATTTCTGTCACATTACACATATGGTATTTATTTAGGATGGCAGAAGAAATATTTTACGAAATATATCGCGAATTGTATGCAATTGAATTACGTAAATCAATTAATCTTATTTATTATTATGTTTTGGTGGGCCCAACAGTCTCTGAACGATCATCTTTGTATCCTCAAACCTTTAATTTCTAATAAACACATTTTACTTAATATCAAAGTCCTCATTTACAAGACACTACTGAAACCTATCTGAACATACGGTCTTCAGTTGCAAAGAATTCCAATCATAATAAAATGCAATTCTTCTAGAATATTTCCTTAAGAAGATTAATAATGCTTCTCCATACATATCAAACTATACTCTCCATTCAGACTTAAAATTAAAAACAATTAATGAAGAAGCCAAATATTTCAATAAAGATTTCATGACCGTCTCTCTTCTCATTAAAACCTTTCAACTCTCAATTCCAGATAGCTCTCCTAGACGCTTAAATCGTAAATGGTACAGAGATCTATTACAACATTAAAAAACAAAAAAAAAAAATAAATATGATATAATAAAATAAAAAACTTATCAAAATAACAATTACTTCTTTTTGAAAATCCACAATTAAGTGTCATCATTGGGTGGCTTCTTTTCTCAATATCTTGTTACCTGTTTATTATTTCTTATATACTTATTATGTATTATCTGATACAGATTGTATATTTTGACTGAGAATAAAAAGTAAAAAAAAAAAAGTATAAACTATTATGTTTATTGAACAGTTCTATTTCTGGGTTATTACTGTATTGCCGGCGGTCGGTAGAACAGGCCACACGTACAAAAAATAGTACCGTTGCACGTCTTCGAAAGGATGGGAAAGTAAGCACCGGGTGTAGTATGACACGCGTATACGCGGCGTACATTATCTACACACGTATAGTTTGAGAAGAGAATATGCTTTTACGAGGGAACAATACTCTCAGCGGACCTGTGCGAGGGGTTTCGGTCGCGAAGGCAGCAAGTGTTGTGTACAACGCACGTCAGGTATGTGCGGTAGTGGAACGCGATTGGACGGGCACGTCGATCGGGGGAAGATGGAGACGAATGTGAGTGCGCACGTACATGCAGTATGTGCGTGTGCATATCGGATGTGACGAGAACGGCAGGGCCGAGGGAAAAGACTTCTGGGGAGACCCTGCGGCGAGGCAAATCTGAATAGATAGGGTTTGATGTACGGCGCCGGGGGATGACGAGAAGAAGACGGAGTTGTCCCGTTCCCATGCCACGAAGGACGCGTAATGCGTGCGTTCGGGTGCAATATGATAATAGTAATAACAATGTGTGTGTACGATATTTCGCGATCATCCCGCGGGAGACGAACGTTTTTTTTATTCGTTTCAACGCGAGGAGAGAAAAGTTACAATAGTACAACGAAACGAAACGTTTATGTATCGGCTACTGCAGTTACTGTGTGCGTGCGTGCGTGTGTTTGTTTGTGTGTGTGTGTGTGTGTGTGTGTGTGTGTGTGCGTATTCGTAGCAGGACAGGGCCGGTTACTGTTTGAAAATTAAAAGTTGAAGTCTCCCGGGACGCGCCTCGAGGGTTACGCGCCGATGGTCTTAAACGCGTGTACATATATTTATATACGCACGCAATGTTCCTTCTTATACGATTGGCGATCTGTCTAACGGTATTGGACTCAACCCTCCGGGGCTCGACCTTTCGCTGAAGGAACCACATATTATATGTACCTCACATTTTAAAAATAAATGAATACCGAATTCGTTTTTCTCCATCGAATTGCTTATACGTTTAACGATTTTCATAGCGTTCATTTATTTATGACGCATTTATATGTATTATACGAATTTCTATTAATCCGCAAGGCGATTTAACGGTAAACACTGTTCATTTTTTTTGTTCGATTTGTACAAAAAAAAAAAAAAAAATTAAAATACATTTTACTTAATTCGATTTATACATAATTTCCATATACAAACTGTACTACGATATTTAACGTCTATATAAATTATATATTTTAATACAATTTTTTGTTAATCCTTTTGAACTTTTTGATGTCTTTTAATTTGCAATATATTTTTAATTTTGTATACTAAAATATAATTTATTTTAATAATTCGGAATACCGAACAAGTTCCTAGTTAAATTATTTATTTATTAGTGCTTAGAGTTTAGTATTTTGTAACTGAACATACAAATAGTTCTACTATTTAGCTTGTTTAAATTGTAAATACTTATTAATAACGAAATGCTAGTTTAGATGGATTTAATTTTTTAAAACCAAATTCTTAGAAAAATATTAAGCTGCAAATTAAATAGTTAAAAATACAATGTCATCATAAAAAAAAAACTGAAAAATAAAAAATTGTAACTGTAAGCGATTATTTTTCTCCAAATTTTATTTTATTCGTTTCTTATTTTATTATAATTAGGTTTTAAACAATACATTAATATATGACTAAAATTAGTGTCTAATTACTAACTATTATTTAGTGTCCTATTATAACTCGTCTTACGTTATAATATCCAACCTTGTAAAAGATACTTTTTTTTTTAAGTATTCAGATATTGACATTAATTTAAAGAAATATTTTAAATTCGTTTTAATATAATTACTACCGTAAAAATACAGATATTTAGAGAAAGTATTGACAATATATTTTGAAAAAATAAAAATATTTAACTATTCTTGACAAAGGACTCTAGTAACAATCACTTTCTTGAGTGTATTGTATTTTTCACGCTTATATTATGGATTAGAAAAAAATTACGTTCAAAAAGTAAATTTATATATGAATGATTCCGCCGAATAAGGGACCATGTGGGATTTCTCAACTTTTCAGAAGCACCAAAAAACGAAGTTGAACTTAATATTTTTACAGTGTCTTTTGGTGTGATATGGGCCCTTTTCCACTGGAAAATTTTAAAATCAAAAAAATGTTTATACATAGTTATGCAATAAAAACATAAATTATTGTAGATATGTATGATAATATTTTTTGGTTATAATGTAATAAAATTATTAGATACATTAAATTGAAAGGAGTGCTGTATAAAACAATGTATGAGTTTGATCAGTCATGAACTTAATTATCTGAAGTAGATCTTTCTTTTTTTTCTTGCTAATGGAAGCTACAAGCTTATATATAAAATCGGCAGACTATGATGTTCTGGAATGTCAACAGATTTGTCAAACATTTTGAGCGTTTTCCAAGGTATCATATTGTTGGACTTTCTAACATTAAGTATTTCTGGATCATCACGCAATAGTTTGCACCATTCCTATTTTGTAATTTGTAATTTGAAATTATTTTTCAGTTAAGTATCAGTAATCACGTCTATGTTTTTTAATGTATCTTGAGTCATGCATGTGAGTAGAAAAGGATCGGCCATTTTTGAAGTAGCTATGATGTTCTTTCAGTCATCAGGAATAAAAGCCTTTTTAATTTTTCTCTATCGCTCGATCAAAGTGAAATCACTGTCGCGTGAAAAAAAGCTATGATTAGTAACCATGAACTTTTGATGTATTTCAGTGAAGTATTCACACTATATCAGATACTAGTATAAAATGAGAATAAAAAAAGAAGTCTTATTATTGTTTGGCCCGGTGTATCGATCACACAAAACTATTAATTTACGTTCTTCGTATGGGTCAATACATATTCCATTATGCACGAGCTTTTCCTTTAATCCTCGTTTTGCAAGGACTTCATGTCATAAATATATGCTACTTATATATAATAGAAAAATTATAAGAGTAGTATTGTCATTGGTAGTATATGTTTGAGTGAATAAATGTAAGTGATAAGATAAAATAATTTGTTATAAATCAACACCCAAGGTATGAAGTTTCTGTTCTTCCCATCATCTTAAGTGTTTTGTAAACACCGTCCATTTTCATGTGATACATTATGCTTTTTGTTTGTATCCGTTTTCTTTCGCTATCATTAACTAAAATAAGCTCTGCATAGTATTTGTTGCATTGTTTACAGGTGTTAAATTTATTAGTGCCAGATCGTGTAAAACCAAATCTAAACTTGAATTGTATATTAAAAATTTGTCTGTGTAAATTGTAAGACATTATATTATACACACATTATATACATATATATTAAAGAAATAACCGTGATAAATATATGTTAATAGATTATTATTAGATTTAAAAATACATAATATGTATATTATAGATATTCGAAGAAAGTATTTGAAATACGTGTAATTAAATACTTATAATAATTATACTCAAATATATTACAAGACATAGGTTAAATTGAATCGAAGGTTAGTGTTAGGCAGTGTTGGCGCTATGATTAGGCTCTGTATGAATTAAAACGTGAGGCCTCGGATCTGGAAATACTACAAAATAGAAGAGCGAGGTCCATAAGCCGGTCCAAAAGGCCCTGTGCGATTGCAAGTTCTGCACACTCCTCACGCTGGCATTGTTTATAGGTTATAATTGTATTTCTTATTAGACAAAAGGATAATTATAAAAAACTATTAAAAATATTTATTATTATTGGTTAACTACTAACAAAATGTATGTTGTTTTCAAGTGTTTTAACAGTAAATTATTAATAACGTTATATTGAATAATTATTAATTATGTTATTCGTTTAATTATAACTATATGATTATATTAAATAATTATTGATTGTATAATATTTTTAAGTAGTTGTGTTAATTTTAAAAATTATGTTTACAATTTTATTCATTTTTCTACATGGTGTAATGCCCTGGATAGCCTAAGCACTTGCTAAAATATAGAAAAACTATATCTTCGATAACATATCTTCATTAAAATTTTTTATAGTTAAAATTTGATAACTAATAAATCTAAAGTTATAGAAAATATTTGTACTTGTACATTAATAAGTATGCAAAGGTAGTAGAAATTACCGTTACATTATATTCTTTTAAATATAATGTATATAATAATATTTTGTTATTAGCAAACTCATGGGCGTCATTAAAATTCAAATGTTGGGGTAGCAAAGTTTATTTTTAGAAAGTTAAGAAATTAATATTTAAAGGTTTATAATAATAACTGGCTTATTTAACTGGCTAACTCTACTTCATAAATCTTGGTATGATGTATAGTGTATACACTGTATTATTGTCCGTATTGGACTTATCACAAAATATAATTATTTTGGATACAATCACAATAATAGAGGGTCTATTTTTATGTTCACACTTGAATAATAAACTTTGAATTTAATTTTAAAATCTATAACTTTTTTTGGGGTAGCGAAAAGATAGCCTTGCTACCCCACAACAATTTCTGGGGTATCAAAGATATCCCTCAATAGTGACACCTATGACCAAATTCAATAATTATGTAGTTATGATAAACTAATTAATTGTATTACATTTGAGCCGTGAACATTATTTACTTTAAAATATCTACAGTTCATTTGTATTAGAAATAAATACATACATCAAATAGTCAAATATATTATCCTCAACCCAATTTGATGCGCATACAATAATATTTATTGTTCAATAAAAGTTTTATACTTATGTTGTCAGGGTTAACATGACAAATGTATTAAACTGGTTACAGTCAACATGTAGTACGTGATATCATGAGTCATGTGTGTAAATGAAACCCATAAAAGAGTTAACATTTAAGTTAATTTTAACTTTTTAACTTAACTTCTTTTAATTTTAATTTTCATGGACTAAATTTTTAACTCAACATATTTTATTTGATATAATATATAAAAATATAAATTATTTGATACTTTTAATCAAATTCAAAGTTAATTTATAAATAATTAAATAAAAAAATATAATAAAATTATTATTGATGATGCAATTGTTGTGCAGGGCACTATGATCGATACAACATTAATTATTATACGACGTCGCTCGTTCGTTGTTATCTTGAGACGTGATTGTGAGAGAAATAGGTATTTTGAATAATTAAACACTTGTATTTTAATACTTATAAAAATTACTGCTTTTATTAATTTAATACAAGAAAAATAACAAACAGTTAAAACAAAAATAAAGATCAGCTTAGCCTGGGTAAAGAATTATGTACTCGCGGCGATGTGGCTGTAACAATGTTCACGACGAGAAATAATTTATTTAAAAGGGTAAAATACCAGTTTAACACTTTCTAGAACATAACTATCTACTTCTGATTAGTGCCAAATGCTCTACCTGTATTTATATGAATTTCCAATGACGTAAAAATTGTGTCATTCTAATATTACTTCCTTTTACTGTAACATTATTTGGTTAAGAGACTAACTTTTTGTTTTCACCTTTGCCCTAGATTTCCTGCGCCTTGGTATATTTATTAATATTTATACTAAATTATGTCTCATTGTTAAATTATGCTGAGCATTGGGCTTTCTGCAAGGTATTGGCTATTTCCTGTGTTCAATATTATTTATGATTTTTATTATTTTCAACTATATTATAATGTATTTATATGGATATTAAAAAATAAAAATAAATTAACTTAAGTGAATAAGTTAATAGAAAATGTGCATATAACTTTTAACTTAACCGAGTTAAAAAAAAAATTAGGTTAACTGTTATCTTTAAACTTTTTTAAGTGTTTTCCATCAACTTAATTTAACTCGGTTAAAAATTATTATTAACTTACCCAGGCTTGCTAATCGAGTCTTGGGTTAGAAATCTAACAGTATACGAATTGAGTTCGAGAATTATTTTATCATATTAATAATGGAAATGGATAAAAACCATGCAAATATAGTTGTAAAAATTATGGAATATTTACCCGTTTTAACATTTCTTATTTTTGTACATAATTTTATGACTAACTATCTATTTTAGAATATTGGAATGATGCACTATCTACATTACTTATACTTGGGGCTTATTATACTTATATAATAATTAGAAGTGTTCATATGATTAATACAAGAAATTATGCAAACGAAAACGAAAAAGAAAACGAAGATCAGATGCAGCTGTTGCAAGCAAACACAATAACTAGATTTGAATATACACAATGCTTACCCCATACATTTTTACCAATATAAAAAATGTTATTTTATCATTATCTATATATATTTAATTATATACAAATTATTCATATTATATTATACCTCTATATTATTAGAATATAAAATATTAAAAAAGAAAAACATTTTTAACCATACCTGTAGAATATTTTGTTATAGTCTTAAGTCTGTAAAAATTGAAAGGAAATATAACGGGATTCAGCTAGTATTAAGACATGGACTCAATTAATATTATACCTAAAATTGCACGGAAATCAATTGGTAAATACCCTAAAACAACCCAGGACTAAAATTTTCATAAAAGGTAATATTAGGACTCAGTTCGTATGCAGCCAAATATTTATAGGTACCGAATGGCTGTTAGTATTTTTATACATAATATGTATATATATATATAATAGTTTAATATAAAACCGCTTGTTTTTTACACAGACCTATAGAACTAAATTTTACTTTTAGTTGGGTTTGTATTATAACCAGATTTTTCAAAAAATGTCCGTTTTCTAAACAGGTTTTCAAATTTACAAATAAAGTCATTCGCCGTACTACGATTGACGACGTACGTGGTTTAATTATAAAAAATTAAAAATTATTTATTATTATTAATTAAAAAAAAAAAAATGAAATTTCAAATTATTTATAATAGTACTATATTTTATCAACAGGATTTGAAATGTGAGATCCGTAGATAATCGTTTGTAAATATTTCGATAATATAGCGTTCAAAATTGTATAGATCGATTTGTTTGTTTTTTATACTTGATGCTGTGTACGCCCTACTAATACCAATCGGTACCGCCCAGGGTTAATTTAATTACCGTCGAACGAGGTAAAAAACAGTTCATTAGTCCGTATGAAAGTATGACGGTCGGAATTCTGTTATCACACATCTCACTTTTCATACGAGTCCAAAAATAACGTTAAAACGAGTGTATTCGCGTAACCGTTGTATGCTATTAAAAACAAAACGGCCAATATCGTACCTACTTCAGTATGCACGTATCGGTTCGAATTTCGATCACGATATCGATTGGAATGTGTGTTCAACAGTTTTGTTTCGACAAATAATTGAACAGCATACCTGCATGGTGTTCAAAAGTAATTGATTACGATGTCGATCACGAACACCGGTCGGTGTAATACTAAAAACGTCAACGGACGAGAACTGGCGGAACGCGGAAGACAGTTTAATGTTAATATAATTTCCATTAAGATGAGTAAAAAAAAATCTAAAACTAATATTTTATTCGATCGATTGATATTGTTGTCTCGCAACAAATGTTTGAAATTGTTTAAACGTTTCAACTTTATGCATTAAAAAAAAAAAAAAATAAAAAAAATAATGTAATAATAAGATACGTCCCTCCCGTCTGTTTATCGTTTCAGTCTTCCGGACTAAAACAGATCACTGGCCGACCCGTACAATAATTATCGATCAATGATTTTGCGTACCGTCGGTCGGAGATGCTGGGCCTTTGACGTGACGTTGTCCAGGTTCCATGTCGATGGATTTTGATTTCGTTTCGCGTTCCGGTTGCGATCGACGTCTGCGCGCGTTTTTCGGTCACCGGCGACGGTCCGTCGACGACTATGCCGTGCGATTGTGTTGCCAAGCGGTCGGCGGTGTCGCGTAGGCATTGCGAACGTACTGCGAGTCGGATCTAGAATTGTGTGCGCCCGAGGGGGGTTAACCCGGTCGCGGCTGCAGTCGCACGATCCATGATAAAGGTCACTTTATCCGCGTGCGGTAGACGGCGCGATCGCCTTGACGCGTCGTCGTTCAGGTCTTGTCGACGGCCGTTTGTTATTTCGTTCCCCCCTACTCCACCGCAATACAGATGTAATACATATTCGAATAGCTCCACCGCAAACAATTCGAATGTTCGAAAATCAATATTCGATGCTACGATACCTATTATAATCAAACGTTTTGTGTTGCGCGAAAACTTACACGAATAATTTTCGTTACGTATTGTATTGCAGCATCGAATACTGATAATTAGGGCTCGGATTTCAATGCATTTGCATCTTTTTTTTTTTTTGGGACGTCTTACGCGATGCTTTCCAAGCTATAAACTTGTTTCGGGTACTCCGTGTTCTACCCACAACATGTTTTTGGGACATTTTTTGCATTTTTATACTTTTTTAGAGCATTTTTTGACGTTTTTAATGAATTTTTTTTTTCATATTTCAGGACATTTTTGACCGGTTTCTCGTATTATGACTAACTTCAGTTGATGTTCAGAGGTCATTTTCAGTATATAAAAACTTATTGGCAGACAACCGTCGATCATTCAAATTCCAAAACTTAAAAGAAACACTAATCGTACAGTGCAATTTAAATATGTAATTTAATTTTTAATTCAATTTTTGATTTTAATTTTTTTTATTTTTTGTAGTGTAATTGTAAATAAAATTTTATTTTTTAATAATAATTTGAACTTATTTAATAAATGATGCATTTTTTGATATTTTTATGGCATTTCTTTGAGTTTTTAGGTCATAAAAGCATTTTTTGAAAGGGCATTTAAATCCGAGCCCTACTGATAATGGTCGAATATTCGAATATTCGATTACTAGAATAATTCCCATCACTGCTCCGTACCATCGCTTCCGCTTATTGTTTTCGCCGTTAAGCGTAGTTTACACGATGCTAGTTTACTAACGACTAGTGAAACACCATAGTAAAATAATTATTTCATATACACGATATTCAAATACAAGTAGTTACTAGTAGTATAATTACCATTAAGACGCAATTGATCACTGTCCACAAGTTCGATAGTACTTAAATTATTTTTAAGTTTTTCAAAATTACTGTTTTTCAAGTTTCTATTTAAATAATCTGTATGTTTAATGTTCCATAATATTGGAAATTGTTCGTATACATCGAGAAATTGGAAAATATCATCTTTGTTCCACTTCGTTTTAAAATGACTCATTATGAATTTGTTTATGATAACATATTCAATAAGAAAATTTACAGAAACAACAGGTTAGGTTAGGTTAGGCTAAAACTTATTATAATACCTGATTAATAACTGAATAATGGATATTCGGTATCGTTTTTAGTGTTTTCACACACACTGCCGGCAGTGGTGTATTGGAGGGTATACGCCGTATACCCGGATCCCTGTTTTTGTATTATGCGTATACCTTTAAGAAAATTCGTCTATCATGGGTATACGTTAACTAATCATTCGTACATAATGGATATATTATGCAAGCTTCTAATTTTTCATCACCATAAGGCATACATTATACAACAACAGTATAGAATTTATTATTATTATTATTATATACTATAGCTACTATCCAAAAATAGCCTCGTGCCCCCATAAACTTCGATTAAATTTTCCCCGACTCGGGTATTTGTGAAGACGGTCGGAAACTTCCGAGCGTCTACATCAGTGTTTCTCCACCTTTGTATAATGGTGACACACTATTAAAATATTTCATACTTTGCGACACATAGTAAAAAAAATAAGAATAATAGATAGTATTAAATATTTATAATTAGTTAATAATATATAATCAATTATAATATATAAAACAACAAAGAAAAATATAACATAGGTAAAACAGCATTTTAATGAGAAATTTGTGACTGATATTTCTTACATAATGTATCAATTCGTGGTGAAATCTTCGATAAGGCGAATCTTAACTCCTCTTCGACATTAATTAATCTTTCCCTTTTTTTATTTTTAATTTCATTCAAAGCAGAAAAAGCTACCTCGCACAAATATGATGTCGAAAATGATAATAATACGGAATGAGCCAATTTTGTTAAGTTCGGATATTCTTTTTTTTGTGTAAATCCAAAATTGGTTTAGCTCGAGCTCATTAAATTTCATTTGAAGAGTGCGATCGTTTTTTAACTCTGCAAGTTTTAGTAACAAAAAAATATTGTTGTTAATAAATTAAGAAAAAGTCTATTCGACTATAGAAGTAAATAACAACTGAGCATACAAATAAAGTGAGTTATTGATACGGTGCATGTTTTCAGTATAAATATACTATACGTATTCACTGTTTAAAAATAAACGAAAATATCAAAAACCAACACTTATAAATTAAGATGACACACAATAGGCGATTCGAACGCGATTAATCGTTCAAAATGACGATAATAATAATAACCCAACGATAATAATACAATTTATTTTATTTCGATAGCTGAAAATCTATTTTTATTATCATGGAAATGATATCAAATACCTATTAATTTTTGTAAATAGTTAATAGTGTTAATAATGTTTTTTGTCATTTAATATTAGTACTTCACGCGACACATTTGGACTTGCTCGGCGACACACCAGTGTGTCGCGACACACCGGTTGAGAATCACTGGTCTACATACATCAGAATTTAATACCGGTGGACGTGTGCGATATTGTATTGTCGAGCGAATATTATAATTGTTAAAAATAGGTCAACAGTCAAAAAGTTCTGTTTATAAATTTATCACAATATTAACTGGTCTGTCTACGATGTTTTGGATAGATTTTGATAATTAATTATCATATTTTATTGTTGTCAGTTTGTCACTTAGTATTTATTCGTTGCATGTTTGTGCAAATTATTTTAAATTAATACTAAAATGTTATTACACACAACAAAACATTAGGTTACATGAAAATAAATATTAACATAAATATTATGTTTTATATATGATATATATCTATGATTTAATTAAAGATAAGTTTAAAATGTTGACTTCCATAGTGTGAATCCAAGGGGACTAAGGGGGCGTGCGCCCACTTCAAATCCCCCAAAAATACTTTTGTTGAATTTTTGTACTCCCCCAACCTTTTAGGAAAAAAGTCTGGTGGGGGTATATCTCACGTCCCCATCATATTATGTAATTTTGAGTTTAGGTAGGTAGAACATTTTTTTTAAGAGGTTTAGCCCCCCCCTCGCACCAATAAAAGCTTATGCGCTGAGCGTATACGCTAGAAAAAAATTACGAATACACCACTGGCTGCCGGGGAAATACAAGCTACTAGTTCAAAATAAACAATTAGTGCCCAATTACATGATACTATTTTTATTCGCATCGGATAAAATAGCGCGCTAGTTTGCTAGTAAAGTTGAAATATTTCAACTTAACCCACAAACTAGTTTACTATCAAAATAATTTGCTAGTTTACTAGCACACTCAACTAGACAATGTTTTTTTACTATCAGATAATGAATTAGCTTACTAGTTGCTAGTAAACTAGTATCATATGAACTGTGCTTTATACGCAACCGTTTCCCCGTCCTCGCGTACATACTGCAGTGCCTGCACACGCGGGTTTTGAAAATTCTTCTTCTGCAGTATTCCGTCTAATGATTGGTTTGCAGCAATTTCCATGTTTCTCTATCACTAGCCTTCCTCTTCAATTCTTGATATGAGTTACATCCTTGATCTTCCATTATCTGACTTATGAATTACAATCTTGGTCTTCCTCTATAGTTTTTTTCCGTCGATTACACCTTCTAAGATAAATAATAGCAGTCCATTGTGTCTTAAAATATGACCTATCAATTCATTTCGCCTTTTCTATATACTCTTCCACATTGATTTTTTCTCCGATACCCTTTCTAAAACTTCTTCATTAGTGATTCCGTCAGTCTAACTTATCTTTTGCATCCTCTTATAGCACCACATTTCGAATGCCTCTGTTCTTCTCATTTCTTCTCTTGCAATAGTCATGTTTCACATCTATATAACATAATGCTCCAGATGTACGTTTTTAGTAGATTCTTCCTGATATTAAGGTCAATGCTTTTTGAAATAAAAATAATTGTTTTCTTATTAAATGTTACTTTACCTTGGCATATTCTTTTTATAATTCATTTTTTGCATCTCCTGTCTGAGCATATAATGTTACCAAAATATATGAAGTCTTCTACTTGTTCTATAGTTTCACCATCCTTTAATTTTATTCTTGTTCTTATGTTGTCGTATCTAATACATTCAAGTATTTTCGTTTTCTTTGTGTTCATTTTTTATGTAAATCTTTTTCCATCACCTGTTCCAATATTTCTAAAATTTTTTTTAGATCTTTTTAATTCTCCGCTATTATTGCAATATCATCTGCTAATCTTAGCATGTTATTCTGTAACCATTTATAGAGGTGTATATAGAGGGGGGATTCCTATTAAGCTACAGCCCCCTCCACCGAAATGTTTTAAAAACTTAAAAATTATTTTAAACGTATGTTATATTTTAATGGTGCTTTATGCTTATTTAGAATTTGCGTCCAACGTCAAATCGTTTTGGGACATTTTGTAAATGAAATATAGATAAGTACCTACTGTTTCTTGTTAGTAATTCTTAGATAGCAATGGTAATTTAACTTTGTCCATAGTAGCCCCTCCCGAAAATTTATTCTATATATTCTGCTACTGTGTATACAGTGGCCGTACGCAGGGGGGGCAATGGGCTGAAGCCCTTCCCCCATTGTCCGTATTATTATTTCTGTTTTGAAATCTACCAACGATTTAATACAGTATCTCAAAGCGTGTATTTACCCATTTATTAGAATCACGGACTAAGATATTAATAAATATTATACATATCTTAGTCTGTGATTACGATTATAGTCCATAGATGGGTATTTATAATCTATGATTACAATTAAATTGATGTTAGCAATAATCCAAACA